ACTGGAGTGAGAAGAGAATTTCCTCAGACCAACAAGGAAGAATAGGAAAAACTATGCAGAGTTCTTTACACATGAAAGATAAGCTTCTCACTTAGCATCTCACCATCAGTGAACTGCCCTTGCCACTGTCTTCAGGAAACTGACTCCAACTGATGCTGATGTAGCTAGAAATCACATCCAGTCAAGCGAATTGTCCAAGTTATTCCATAAAGCATCATCCCCACAGCATGGAACTGGCACTTTGCCTCCGCACTGTTCAGCACTTCAGGTCTTACTGTAAAAGCTTATGCGTACAATTTTCATGTCTGTATTTGTAACATTTAGAAGGCACTGCCACACTTAGAAATTAGGGCACTATCCATGTATTTTTCCCAAGGACATCTGAAATTTTACAAGCTACTTATTCTTTCAGAAGTGTCTGACTCTTTCCTTTATCCCCTACCTGAAATCACAATCAGCCCAAGGGGCGCAATCATTCCTGCAGCAACCACTTGACTTCATAGATTATTCTTTCTGTCGAGGAACAAGCAGGAGATGATGAAACCTGCAGGAAAAAAAAAAAGCATCCTTGAAAACCTTCCCCCATCCCAGCTAAAAAACAGAACAGCAGGAAAACTATATATGTAACCATTTTCAAACTCTTTCTGAGAAAGAAGTAGACAAATGATAGTCCTAATTCAGCAAAGTAATGAAGTATCTAGACAATATGATGGTCATATAATCACAGAATCACAGAATGGTTTGGGTTGGAAAGGATCTTGAGATCATTCTGTTCCAACCCCTGCAATGGGCAGGGATGCCTCACACTAGACCATTTCACCCAAGGATCTGTCCAACCTGGCCTTGAACACTGCCAGGGATGGAGCAGTCACCACTTCCCTGTGCAACCTGTGCCAGAGCCTCAGCACCCTCACAGGGAAGAGCTTCTGCCTTAGATCTAACCTGAACTTCCCCTGTTTCAGTTTGAACCCATCACCCCTTGTCCTATTGCTACAGTCCCTGATGAAGAGTCCCTCTCCAGCATCCTTGTAGCCCCCTTCAGACACTGGAAGCTGCTCTGAGGTCTCCACACAGCTTCTCTTCTCCAGGCTGAACAGCCCCAGTGTTCTCAGCCTGTCTCCATACAGGAGGTGCTCCAGCCCCTGAGCATCCCTGTGGCCTCCTCTGGACTTGCTCCAACAGCTCCATGTCCTTCTTATGTTGAGGACACCAGAGCTGCAAACAGTGCTGCAAGCGGGGTCTCATAAGAGCAGAGTAGAGGGGCAGGAGCACATCCTTCCACCTGCTGGTTATGCTCCTCTCTGAACTGAAGTCAGTATTGAGGTGTACTGTCCCCTCTACTTTTGTGAATTTCCTTGACCAAAAGACTCCTTCCTACATGGCAGATACATCGGGAGAGCTAAGCAGGTTTCATGGGTACCACCAACTAGTGCATGTCACCCACAAGTGCAAAGCTAGCACAACTCCAATGTACCACTGCCATCCCTCACAGCAGCTCAGGCTAGTCCTAACATCTCCAGAATGCCATTAAATCCAACACCCTATGGGAATAAAATTGAAGCATAACCCCCTCTAGATATGGGTATCTGGTAGTGGAGGCTCCTGAGATAGTCTCTTCCCATATTACCTCCCTTCTCTTGTTCTCCTGATTCCCAGAGGAAGGTATCACATGCTTATTAGGTACAATCCTGTTCATTGCACTGACTCAATGAGAAATTATAGGGTGCTACAAAGCACCCTATAAGCAGGTGCTTCATAATGGCAGCCTAACACAGTAGCTCTTAATCTTATATGTGCCACAGCCACTCTCACACAAGGTCAATTGCACCTATGATTAATTTACACAAGCTGAACCCTCAGCTGCCACCTTACACAGCCTTGCAGATGCACAGGCTGCATAAAACTCTATTGGTAATTAGTTTGTCAAGCAAATGGTAGGGAAGAACAACACTGGTAATTTATACCATAGATATTCAAATGAAACAATTTCCCTGAATAATTTGATGTCAGAAAGAAGAACAGCAGCAAAGCAGAACAAAGCTTCCCACCAGCTCTTGAAGGGACACTAATGTATTATGAGCCAAATTCAGACACAGTAAAAACCACGTTTTTTTTCACTGAACTCATCTGGCCAGATTTTGGCATTAAAAATGGTTCTGAAATTATTCAGGCATGTCCTATGTACAGAGACTCTGGGATGACCAAGGATGCTACAGTTCAGTGAGATAGGACCTGTATGGAAAACACTGTATGTTATCCCAAAAGGGAAGATATAAACCATCTAATGGAAATATTTGTTACATTTTAGTTCTTTACAAAGAAAAAGCAGGACTCATCAGCCTACACCCTTCTTATTTTTCTTCTCACTCTATCACCCTTAGTACTGTCAGAGGTATTGGGACCCTCATCATCTGTTACCAGCAGCCCTCTTCACTATAAACCTAGCTGGTTGTAGTTGTTATTGTTACTTTTGTGTGTGTGAAACAGAATTTCACTTCTAAAATTGCTCCTTGGGTGACACTTCAGTGTTTTGCCAGAGTGTCTTGGATAGTGGACTTCAGGCAAATCAAAAGGGGGATTCCCTGGCTATAAGAATATGCAATGGGTTTCATAGTCACTAACCTGGGACACACCATAAGATAGAACGACCTAGCCTTGGAAATGCTTGTGGTCCTGCCATAGTACTGTGTGTGAAATCCCCAGAAGCTTCAATCTCAGCTGGTGCAGCACCTCATTTATGCTGAAGCAAGTCTGTGAGCCTTGGTGAGAACTGCAGAAATTCAGATCTTGGGTAGAAATCTATCTCAAAACCTGGTGTTCCAGGGTGCCACCCTGCAAAAGGGGTTCCTCAAGACTTCCACCAGTACCTGTCAGATGTCTGGGCTAGCTGACTTAAAGGAACTAACATTTCTCAGATCAGAATCCCACAGTGTTCCTTGGTTTCCACTGAATTCAAAGCTCCCATCTTAGCAGTCAAGCAGGAGGGGAGAAGAAGGAATTTTCCCTCATGGCAGAAGTTGAGTAAAGCGTTTCAAACCTTGTTGCCAGTAAGTTATTTTATAATATAAAGGATGAGAAGCATATCCTTAGATATGTTCACAACAGATGATGGGGCGAACTGCACCTCTGTACAAAAAGAAGAAAAGAAGAGTTAATTCTGAGCAAAAAGGAGATTTAATTGATGGTAGAGAAGAGTCTCTTCATTTTCTGTGAGTATTGACAGTTAGGATACAACAGCCACGTGAAATAGGTCTTCTCAGCATCAAGATGATCCATTTTCCTGGCTTGTGTGTTTTAGGATGATTCAGTGTGGTAAACCAGTGTATTCCCGAATGAGCACTACTTGAGCAAGCAGTACCTAATAAATTCTCAGCTGTCAATGTCACTTTTCTCCCTTTTCCTCCATCAGGCCTCTTCTTCCTTTCTTTTTGGTGAGAATTAGGAGTGGAGACTTACTGCTGTTGAATGTTATCAAACCAAAGCACTCTGAGCTCTTTGGGTCTTGCCATTGATAACTGTATTTCTGCAGAGATAACAAACTCTAGAGAAATAAGAGAATCTTTCAAACACTCCAAATAAAGCTGCTTGCAGAAATGGGTGTTTTTTATTCAACTCATACTAGTAGAGTACAAGACAGAGATACCAACACATGCTGGCACTGGCATTTCTGGTGAAGAGTAAAACTGGACAAGAGATAGGATCAGTTATTCCAACACTGCCTACAAAACCCCTAGTCTGTGTGTCTGTTAAGAAACCCTGAAGAGAAGCAGGTCCTTTGGGGAAAATATTAAAGAAAAGAAGGACAATTTGGAAACAGTCTGGCCACTGTTAAAACTTCTCTTTCTTTTCAATTAGGTTCTACCCGATACTAGGAGTTTTCACGTAGATATTATTTCATTCTATTTCATGTAAATAAGGATTTTCAAATAATCAATACTAATTCTGTATCCTCTTTTGACTTCTTGGGGACACTTTTTGGCAGCAGTGCTTCCCACAGGTCTTCTGTGCTCAGTAACAATAAACTCCCATCACCATTAACACTTCCGGTGTTGTCTCTCCTTAAGCTTTCTCTCTTACATAAGCCCAGTCTTTCTCCATATCCATTTCTGTTTCATTATACCTTGATTTTATATGTCATAATTCACTCACAAACAGCAATAATTATTTTCACAATCTCATCCCTTCCAACAGAAAACTGAGACAGAAACCCTATTCTTGTTACACTTTCCCCATAGAATATTTATTGACAGTAGGTCACCCTTTTCTGCCAAAGGATAAGTAAAATACTAACTATGGGCCCAGAAAGCAAGGCAAGGTCAGCTCCAGGCTGTTCTTCAGCATTTGTTCAGATTTATAATAAATGAATGTGAATTCTTGACTTAGTTTCCAATTTACTACTTCTAACAATTCCAGACGAACTGTTCAGTAGGGTAAAACTAACACTATAACAGTGTTTAACTGGAACAAACTAATCCAGTTATGTGACAGTCTAGAATCATAGAACCACAGAATGGTTAGGGTTGGAAAGGACCTTAAGATCATCCAGTTCCAACCCCTTGCCATGGGCAGGGACACAACATACTAGGACCAGGTTGGCCAAGGCTCTGTCCAACCTGGCCTTGAACACTGCCAGGGATGGAGCATTCAGTCAATGTAAGCAATCTAAAAAACACAGGATGGGTAAGAGGTAATCATGAGTAACCCACTATTACCCTGTAACCATCAAACAGTAGACATGCCTCCTTATTAAAATATAAGTAAACTTTCTGGCCTCTGTCTGGTGCAGGATCAGTCATCACAGGACTGAACACAAATCATATTCCCAGCAAGTGAAAGCATGGATATCTCTAAAAGGGGAAAAAAGTAGTAGAAAAAGTAGACTGGCTTCCACAACACAGGCTTTGTGATTGGAGAGAGGACTCAGAGCCAACAAATTTGGCTTTGAAATCTCACCTTTTTCATTCATTTCCTGCCAATCCATGGACAAGTCACCTCCCCTCTTGCCTTGATTTCCTCGTGAGTAAGCTGGAACTGACGTATGTGTAACAGGAATCTGACAATCGCGATGTGATTACCAGTTGAAAAGCTTTTCAAAAGCTCATATGGGAATGTTACAGAGGTGCTGCAGTTATACCCCTTCCCAGGTTTCTATTCACAGGGGTGTGAGGGGGAGGACCAAGCTGTTATTTGTTTAATGAAAACTGTATTTACTCACAACTTGGATTCATTATTTCCTTTCTCAGAAGAGAAAGCTTGAGTTAGTAGCTGCTGGGAAGCTTGAAAATAGTATCAGTGGCCATAAAACCCCCCACTACATACCCATTGTACTATCACCCCATTAGAAATGCGGTACAGGGACTGCCAAATTACCAGTTGGCTAATGCTTCAAAATCAAGGACAAACAGCACATCACAATTCAATAAGGAAGGAGACCATGTCTACAGCACAAAAGCCATACCCTGACCTTCATATAGTAATTGTTTGATGGTTTACAGCTGTAAAAATATGCTAATAGGATCAACAAACAAAGAGAAAAAAGACTTTGAAACAATGATGAATACAGATAAAATAGCTCAGTGAAGCCCGGATATTTCCACATGACAGCCAAACATGAGCTAGGAAGTACTGCAATGTCTTCTCTGAATACAAAGATATATACAAGCACACAGCAACAAGACCTTAAATGTCCTTATACAGGGGGAGAGACTGAGTATCAGTTAGATGCAAGGATTATGAGCCTGAAAGAGACAAATCCGTACTAACTCATTTACAGGCACCGAATCCTTCTTTTTTCTTGACACTCTGTGTTGACTGTCCTGCTATACCTTTAAAAAAGGCTGGTCTGCAATGGATTCTTTTCTGGTTGTCATACTTGATTATTTGTCTGGATATTTTCATTTCACACCTTTTGCTAAAATCTGCAAAGAAACCCCAGGATCTGTCATTATTCTGTCTGAGTTTTCCCGAGTCCCTGCCTGGAGAGTAACAATAAAAGCTCCCTCATCTTTCTCTGGATTCTCCTTAAACATTGCCTCAAATAACAAAATGCTATGTGTCCATTCTCTCTGCCCTCAAGTTACCAACCAATACTGCTGACCAGAAATATCCACAGAGATAACATGATATGAGACTTTATATTTCAAGGCAAATAACAAAGAACAAAGAAAGAAAGAGAGAGAAAGCGAAAGAGCAAAGGCACAATGTCTGTTGTGGCTCCGTGCAGATGCTGCAAATGTGTTAGTTTCATCTCATGTGAAAACCTGGCCTGTTGAGCCCATCAGCTGGGAAACCGAAGGCAGGAACCAGAAATGTCATTGAGGTAGATTGTAAAACACAGAGGATGCCCAGAGGAGTACGATGGAACAAGGGAGGATGTACTCTTCACATTTTTCTTTTTCACCAGAAAATCAGAGACTGGAGAGGCAATACCATTGAGTTGTATTAAAGTAACCTCCTGATCCTTCCATTCTCCTTAGAGCATGCTAGCTTGCAGTTACTGCACAGGCAACTATGTCTTTCAGAGTGTGTAACTGAAAGTTAGCAACACAAAGCTGTGGAGGTGGATCATCTTGTATTAAGTGAACTTCTAGAGAAGGATGGTTCATGGAACAATGACTTGGATGCTTTCCTTAGCGTAGTGTTAGTTTAGCTACACAAACACAGGTTTGTTATCTCAAGCCACAAATCAGAGATGATGTGAAAAGTGCATAGGTCTTGGTGTAGATAAAAGGCCCATGTAAGTCTCCAGCAGACAACTACTGATGTTATTTAGTCCACCTTCTGGGAACTGCACTTTTCTTTTTAAGAGAACATACATTTCTTCTGAAAAGCTATTAGATGTCTAGCTGGTGCTTTGGGATGTGCATTGTACTGACACAAAATAGGCTACAAGAAGCTGAAAATTACTACAGAGCTGCTGTGAACAAGATCAGATTATTGGAGGGGTCCTATTTGACACAGGGAAAAGGGGTCACAAACCTTGTGGAATCACAAAGGTTTCAACTGTGAGGACTTCAGAAAGGGGCAATACTTTGGAGATACTTGTTCCTTCTCATTCTTGCTTGGGTCAAGTAGCTTGGGAGGGTTGAGTAGCTGGCCGTGTGGAAGGCTGCTCCTATAGCAGAACAGCACGTAACAGCAATTTCTATGGTGATAGAACCTGTCACAGATACTCTGCTGTGGTCAGGAAGGAGACTATCCTTAACAAGAAAAGAAATAAGTTAGTGAAGAAACACTTGTTCAATTACAGGACCAAAATAATGCGGTTTTAAAACTATTACTGTCACTTTTCAACCTGGTACACAGCAGAAAATCAACAGAAGTCATTGTGGGAATTGTCTTCCATCCAACTACTGCACTAGCTACTAGAAAATGTACTTCTTCACTGTCTTCTCCCTCATTATTTGTCTCACACCAGTCATTTCTGTTTCCTTCACTGTAACACAATCATGCTGCAGCTCCAAGAATGAAACTGTTCCATCAGATCGTCACTGTTATGTCTCATACTGCAAGTATGCACTTCTGCCATCCTTTTCAAGTTGAAGCTAGACATGCTTTTTAATGCTGGTGAGCTCAAAGGAAGGATGCCTCTTAGGGAAACTCTCATATTCATAAGCAGGACAAAACTGAAAGCCCCAGGTATGCCTCTTTAAAAATGATGACAAGAAGAAGACTGCTTAGATCAAATATTAGCGACCTCTATAATTTAGCCAAATTATTTAAATCACTGAGGGCCATATGTAATAATTTATAATCTAGTATAGAATATTTCATATAATTGGAACACTGACAGAAAATCTATATTTGCTTTCGTTCTCATTATTTAAATGTTCACCCTAGGAAATCATTCTAAAAACATGAATAGTTTGTCGACTGTACAATATTCTTCTTGTAACATTGTAAAGAGGTGACAGATACATGTAATTTAATGCTGTAGAGCATAAAAGACTGAAAGGGGAAATTCAGATGAACCAGATTAGGTCTTTTTATTCATAGGTTGCTTTTGCTTGCTCTTTAGGAGAGGAATATACCTATTTTCATATTTATATGTGCTCAGTGAAGATATTCCAGGCCTAAATGTACCTCTAAGGCACTACAGCGGCAAATGCATGATTTTCAGAAGTTGGAAATTAACTCACTTGTGGTTCTTATAAAGGACAAGGTGGATATGAACTTTCACACTGCACAAGGTGATTGCCAGAATGATGGTATCATGTTTGATATTCCACAGCCTCACTTCCACTGAAGTTCAAGAAGAGCACACATCTGACCTGGCTCTGCTTACCCAGCAAAAGAACATTAAAGACAGTCTTGTGTTCCCTGAGTGACAAACCCTGAGGAAAGGAAAATGTGTTACAGATCAGACATGTCAGAATGTGAAGCAAGCAAACATCAGATATTTCTACACAACACAGCAAAACAACTTACCATTTCTTGCAAAGACTTCTGGAGACCAGTAGTTTGAGTGCGTGTGCCTGGCTATGCACAAGCATGCGTGTATAGACACTGCAGCTGAGTCACAGACACAATTAGAAACAGCAAATGCACTGTTTGCCCACAGCAAATATTTTTGTTCCTCTATTCCATCCTGTATTAGCTTTCAAAAGAAAGACCTTTGTTTTTCCAGGCAAGCTTGCTGGCATGAACAACACACTAGCCAAAACCAGTATAGATGTGCCTCAGAAAAGAAACACCTTTATTACCCATTGTAAAGAGAGAGTGCTGCCAGACTTGTTTTGCCAGATGCATCTAACATTGCTTAAAAAGTAGAGAAAAAAAATCAGTAGCAGAGATGAGACAAACTGTAAAAGGGAACATTTGCTTTACAAGTTTCCCTCTCATCTGACTCTTGTTAATGATTCCTTGACTAATGTAAAAAGAAGCACATCAAACACTGCACAAACTACCTCTACACAGCAATTTTATAGCATATAAATCTACCATGCTCAATTTGGCAGTCCCACCTTACTCTGCAGCTGACTGCACAGATAAATGGATGGTTTATAGCTATCAATACTTCAAGGGCTCTGATTTTTTACCATTTAACCAGAGTTTTCCCTATGAAAATGGAGTTACAGGAACCTGGTTCTTTGTTAACCAGCTGTTATGATTCCTATTTTATTTAGCCAGTCTATCCATCAGCACTCTCAGCCATTCACCTGGCCAGAGTGTGACGGAGACCAAGTGTTTGAAAGCACCTTTCCTTTCCTTAAATCCTTGGCTATTACTATAGCCATTTTATTAACTGCCTTTCTCCCTGGAGTAGGAGATGTTAGCTTCCCCACAATTTCACAGTTGGGCATGTCACAGTTTCCAAGGTACTTTCACACTGTTGAAGTGACTGACATTTCTTCATGCAGCAGGACTGCGGTCACATGAAGGAAATATCTTTGGTCCTCAGAATCACAGAGCTTCCTTTTTCTTTTAAGGAATCAATACATTCATTAGTAAAAGGGTCCCAGGCCAAAACGCCATCATTCAGTCAGCAGCAGTTAACAAATCATTAACTATGTGAAGAAACAAACCAGCATCTCTGGCCTAAGGGTGTGCTGAGTTGACTGGAGTAATCTTTACTGAGATATCATGTTCCTGAGCTCTCACTGTCAGGTGGCAAAGATCGATCATCCCTGGAGACATTCAAAGCCAGGCTGGACGTGGTTCTGGACAGCCTGATCTAAAGATGTCCCTGCCCGCTGCAGGTGGTTGGACAGGATGAGCTTTGAAGGTCCCTTCCAGCCCAAACCATTCTGTGATTCTATGAGCAAACCTAAAAAGTATGCCTTCCCACTGCATGTTCAGTCTGCTTCTTCCCACAGCAAAGTGTGTGATCCTAAGCGAGAAGCTGTTGTTCCTTCCCTCTGAAACACTCCTAGAGCTCCCAAGTCTTTGATATATGCATCATGTGGCTCTTTGCCACAGGAAAATCTCAGTCTGTGGCTCATAGACACTGAAAGTTTGGCCATTTCCACTCTTACAGAACACTAGCCTCTAAGAGTTGCTTTCCAGGCAGTAGTAGTGGAAAGAAGCCAAAGGTTGAACTGCTTCTCTGCCTGAAGTCTGTGCAGTTGAAATCTGAAGGGTTTTTCCCTTTTTGATAAGGCAAGGTAAGGATCTATAGGCAGGCAGTAGATTTGGTTATCTGTAAGGGGTAAAAGACATTGCATATATGAATTTCACTCCTACACGCTAGTGTCTGTCCTTGAAATAGGTGTCACTAGAAGAGGCAGAGAAATGTTTACACATAAAAGCAGTAGATACAAAGAACACTTTCAGGTCCTTGTATCCACACAACTGTGGTTTCATACATGACCTGCAAAGAGAGTTAGGTTCATTGAGATGAGGCTTGTTTTGTGCTGTTCATTTGGGTTTTGTTTAAATGCAGTTGAAGCATTCAACCTTTCTTAATAAGAAATAATCTTTATTAATCCTTTTTATCCTTAAGATCTTTATACTAACTCAAGTTTTAATTTGCTGAATAAGTATCATAGGGACTTTAAAACTCTGTTTCATTCCAAACAGTTCAATGACTGTTGTAACAGCACCGTCTTACATCTAGTACTAATATGAGCAGAAGAAATTATTCTCCCAATAGAAAGGTCTTGGCAGTGAAGAACAGCAACTTAAAATTCAGTATTGCCTGGTAATAGTCAGCCATGAAAACTAAAATGGTCTAAAACCCAAAAAGATACAAAATTCAAGTCAGAGCCTCTAATCATACAATAGCAAGACATGGAGACCTTTCCTTATGGTCTGAACTGGTGATCAATTTATGCTCTGGACATTAAAAGGAGAACATGTTTCCTGAGCAGTACTGTAGAAATCCTATCCAGAAAAGTTTCCACTTTAAGCTTAAAAGGAAACAAAAATGTGTTATTTCTAAGAACTTTTAATATTGGGTCTAAAGTGCAAGGAATTAGGGCAAAGAACTAGAAAATGGAGTAGGCATGTTTCCTACTGCTCTTCTACTAAATGAATTATCTCACCAGTAGTAACAGACCTCCACAGACAGAAAAAGGTACATCCATGCTGAAACTTGAGCAGTAACAAGCCAGGCAGGATTGGTCCCAGAAGATTTCAATCACAGAACCCCAATTTAACTCACTCATTTGGCTTCTTGAGCAGCTATTCTTAGCTCAGTGTCCCAGAGCAGGCTCTGCATGGCAATCACAGGGTGCTACAACTGACACTTCTAGGGACAACACATTGGTCTTATAGCTGCACTGGTATATGGAGTAGCTAGATGAGTACTAATTCCTTACCTCTTCATTGCACTGTGATTTTTAGATACACCATAAAGTTCATGTAGGAAGCCACATAGGGAATCTTGGCAGGGGAGTTGGAAGCAGATGATCTTAAGTTCCTTTCCAGCCCAAACCAGTCTGTGATTCTGTGATTCTATGGTCTTAAACCAAAGCCAGGTGTCTTTGAACTCAGTTTGTGCATACTGTGGCTTTCATGCCTGTCAATTCCATGTGACAGCTGATCTTCAGCTGTCTAGATGTTCTCCTCTCATTCTGCCTGTTCTTTATACCTTGACTGCACAAGTCTTGGTTATGGAAAGAATTTGGAGTGCTTGGCAAAATCCCAATAATTGAGAAGGGGTTTGAGGACAAAGTTGATTTCTACAGAAACATCCAGGATGTGCTTCATTAATCCAACTCAAAAAAAACAACCCAAAACCTTGGCAGGGAATGTAATCTCTTAACTGTGAGCATCGGACTTACAGTAACCAGGCTTGATGCTTTGAATTTCATTTCATTGCCTTCAACCAACTCATTGGCTTCAATTATTCAACAGTACCACAGCAGAATGGAGGTAAACATCAAACAGGTGAAAATGAACTCAGGGTTTAAAACTGAACTTAATTCATTAGAAACCATTACCTGCAATGCATAGGAATTAAAATCACCCAGGAGATGGTGCTTTAAATGGTGTCGTTGTCTCCAGCGACAGGAGGATAGAACTATTCCCTGTTATACAGACCCAATACTGAAGTTTTCAATTGCTAGACTATTCAGTCCTAAAAGAAAACCTGGTTCCTCAAACTGAATATTAATAAATAATACACCCTAAGACATTTGTGTTGTGAAATCATAATATCAGTAAAAAATAGGAGTAAAAAGGAAGGCTAGGTGGGCCTTGGGCGACATGGTCTAGTGTGAGATGCCCTTGCCCATGGCAGGAGAGTGGAACTGGATGAGCTTTAAGTCCTTTCCAACCCTAACCACTCTACAATTCTATGCTTCTGTGATTCTATAAACCAAGAGGTCAGCTAGTCAATTCCAAATTCCACCCAGCAAGTCTATAGCTATATTCTGACAGCAGAGACTCGTGTAACTCATTTTTAAACATCTTCAGTGATGGAAATTTCACAATATTCATAGGCACTCCTTCACTCTCCTTATTTTGAGTTTGTGCTTATGTCTAAGCTCAGTCTGCCTCTCTGCAATTCCAGTCTATGCTTCTTTTTGCTCAGCATGGGAATGATTATTACCTTCCTCTCAGAAGCAGCCTTTAAAGATGTGAAGACCCTTGGGATGTCTTCTTTAGCCTGAATAGCCCCACTTCCTTCAGCCCCTAAATGGCAGTGAATGTGAACATTCAAATTTCAGGAGCTCTGAAGAAGACAGAAAGACTTTAACCTTTGCACTGTATCTCATCTATAGCATTTAGTTTGGGGTTTCACTTTTTCTTTTCTTTAATTATTAAATACAATAGAATATAGTGAAGAGCATTTCTCTATTGAAAAAAACAGGGGTGGAAAGTGTATTTGCATGAAGAGTTTATAATGCTGCCCTTGGTTTTTGAGAGGAAGCTGTTAACATTAAATAAACAACTGTGTATTCAGAGCTGCAAGCCAGACTTCACATTCCTCCAAGAGATTTCCCTTGAGCAGTCTTCTAGCTTCATGGAGTACAAGTTCATAAACATTTTCTTGTTCTAATCAGAGCCCTGGGAAGCCACAGGCCTCCCATGTTCTTTTGTATATCAAAGACATAAGGTTTGAGTCTCGTTACACTGGTTAGGAACTACACGGCCTTATGAACAGGCAGAAGCATTTGTATATTGTGTACCAGAAATACACTTTTTGTCTTGCTTGCTTAAAGGTAAGACACTTCAGAGTTCATAAGCAGTGCCTGTTACATCGTGTATTTTCTTTGCTTCTTTTACTTCTCTCTGTTCTATTCAGATTTAAGCACAGAAAAAAAACACATGTTCTTAGTGATATCCTTACAAATCCCTTCTGGTAGGAGAATTTACTTAACGTTTTGGGGAGGCACACTTAAAACTACTGAGGGAATGGGGAGCCCCATGTAATAAGACTCACACAGTTCCTTCTGCTATATGTCTGCAGATTACCTGATAGCAGAGAAACTATGCTTTGTGTAAATGTATGCAGTATGGATGGGCTGATATTTTAGTTTCTTTTCAATTCACTCCTGGAAAGAATTTTGATTACTATTCTAAGAGGATACTGTGCTGTCTAACTGTTCTGTATGTAACACCTCCTGGCGGTGCAATCCTCCAGCATCTATGTGCCTCAGTTCAGAGCTTCCTCTTCCCTAGAAAGAGTGACCACTAGCCAACAGCTTAGACAGGAGAAAACAAAGGAACAAAAAACAACTTTCAGGGACAACGGGAGCAGAAATAATGGCTCTTCAGGGAAGCAGCAATACTATCTGCCCAGGGTTTAAAGAAAAGGGAATGGAAATTCAGTTATCCAATGGACAAAACAGCCAAGTCAAATAACACTGACATCGCAATACCTGTATCATCCTTTTGCGCTGTTCCACTGATGCAGCTCTACAGTAGAGTCACTCATGTACAGAATAAATCTGGAGCCATTATAAACCACAGGTCAATCCCAGAATGTTGTGTCTGTCTCATGGTTGTGGAGATGGATGATAACTCAATTAGAAATGCATAATGACATGTGCCAGTGGGATCTCTCCCTTTCTTATGTTCTTAACCAGAAATCATTAATATAACTTCCAAACCAGCATTTACTTACAATTTCCCCCAAATATCTAAAACCATTTATGGCATTTATCAAAACTTGGTGTCTGTAATAGAATTAATTCAGTAAAATATAGATTACCAATAGAATATTATTAACAGTTTAGACAGCTCAAACCATACTAAGCTTTCCAATATATCACCAAATGATGTTTTCAGGAAACTAAAATCAAACCAGCAGGGTGTAGATTTAGATATTCTTTGCTTCACAAGGTGATAATGAAAGGGAAAAAGTAAAGAAATGTCTTAAAAGTAATTTTGTTAGGCCATTACTGACAGGAGGTGAAGAAAGTGTTGTGAAATCTATCGGAAATGAACAACCTAGCAATCAAAAAACAATAGTTGTTTGAAAAAGAGAAACTAAGGAACAGGGCTATGTGTCAAGAGAAAGACAAGCAAACAGAATATGGCACTGTGTGAAAAGAACAAAATCTACTGCAGCCATGATTTTACAACAACATAGTTTTATCTTAAACCAAACCAGCTCCTTAACTGGCTTAGTAACGGACAGCAAGCACAAGAGATGCTGCAAACTTGCCTTGGACAATTCCATCTCGGTGCAAGTACAAAAGATATACTTGATACTCTTATGTATGTTCATAGAGTTAAGAAAGCTTCTTTGCATCTTCAGTTGCTTCTTCTCAGAATGAAAGAACCAAGATGCATTTGCAGTCTAATAGTTAAGTTGCACATACATAGTTCGGAAACAGACCAAACTCCGTATTTACTTTTACCTTTCCAAGGTCAACAGATGATGAAATAAAGAATAAACTCTCTTTTTCTTCTCCTTCTCTCACCCAATAACTTTCAACATAGAATTCCATGGAAATACATTAGTCTGCACTGTCGGAAACTGTTGCCTCCCATCTCTTACGAAAAAATGTCTTAACAGAGAAGGTAGCTTAGCTGGATGTACTGCTGGATGTACAAAAGCTGGATGGACCTTTTGCCATACTGTTCCTAGGTAAGACTACTTTATTTTTTCAAAACCCACTTCATACAGATAAGGAAATTACAACTTCAATCTCTAAAGTATGGCAAAGTTTTACAGAACTATAAAGGAGGTGATCATAGAGGAAAATCCTTTCTAAGAGGAAGCGTTTCCAGCCAGCTGATAACATTCTAATCTCCAGTTCTCTAGCTGGAAGTCACTGCTACAAACCAGGTAAGTCCAAAAGAGCAAACATGGAAAGACAGATATGAAATACTTTGAATATGAATATGAAATATCTTTGAATACCATGAAAAATAAAGAATTTCTTCGTTCAACATTACATAAAACTCAGAACTGAGAGGCAAGAGAAAAGGAGAAAAAGCCACAAAAAGCTATGTGTAAAGAAGAGAAGAAGAAATACCCCACCTTGATCTCTGTGGCCGCTCAAGTCCTCTCTACAAAGATACTGACTTCTGGTGAAAGATGCTGCATTCCTATGACCACACCAATGCAAACATATAAAGAGAAAATGACTGAAAAGTGAATACTACAAGTATAAAGAAAACACTACATTATTTTTTCACCCCTTCTCACAATGCTGAGAGAAGAACTGGACGCTGACTTTAACAAACTCCTTCTGGAGAGCAAATTTCTATTGCCAGCAACCCTGAATACAGGACTGAAAATCACTAAATGTAATCTAAGTGTGGCCATGTCTGGTTGCAGTGATGATGTTCTGCATTTCTCAAGATGTTACTTGATATTACACAAGTGAGAATCTACTGGAGGAATCTACTGCAACTACACTAGCCCAAAGTACAACGAATGGTAGAGAGCTTAACACTAGATGGCAATATGCCTTTGTAAATTATTTCTCTGAGGTGCCTGTAGATAGAGGCAAATATTTTCCCATCTATTATCCTCTTTTGCAGTTCTTGTGTAGGTTTAGGTATACAGGTTTTACTTGGTTTGCATGAAAATAAACTTCCATGCTATTGCATTTTTCTCGCTGTTTGGCTTAAATCAAGTTCAGATGATATTCTGATCTAGAGCTGGCCCAACAGAAGAGATTCACTGTTTAACTGAAAGTAAACTATGAATTATTCACTGTTCAGTGTGTGTGTAAAACATGATGAACACTGACCAATTCTATCACGCTCAGTGAAATGTAAATCAGAAGAAAGCTTATTCTGTGGGCTACCACCTTGCATCTACTGATACAAATCAGACCACGAAACTAATCATTTATCTCTTAAACTCAGGGCTCCTTTGGGTAACATTTTTCTCCACTACCTGAAGCATTAATCCTGGTTGTTTATTTTGGGCTCCTGCCTAAGCATGTAGCTTCTACTGAAATGCAAGTTGGTTATGAAGGTAGGATATCCTGGATTGTAATCCAGTTGTCCAAGGCACTTTGGCTGGTTTACCTGTGCTTAGTGCAGTACTTTAACAAATCCCTTGGAAATCCCAACATGTTCTAAATTGAACCTATAAGCCCACACTTTCTAAAACTAAACCCACATTATAATTATCAACTAAGTGGCTAATGAACAGTTGTTTGGTTGTTTCCAAAAATGACCAGTATCTGAAGGCAACATGAATCTGTCTCAGCAGTGGCAGCAGCTCAGAAACGCCTTGGCCAAATCCTTGCATGACTTTAAGCATATCTCCCTTCTACTGGCACTTCTTTTTACATGAAAATGGGTCCCTGAAGCTATTACCACTTTGACACACAACTTGTTCTCCCACCAACTCAGTAAGAGATCCCAAACCAAAACAGCAGGTTAACTGCCAGTACCATTTTATCCATACATCATTTTAGCTACTGCCCTCTGGACAGTCTGTCCCACGTTTCTGCAAAAGGCACTTTTACACCTTTTGTGCTTTTTACGGATGTGTCTGAAGACAAAAATGGACAACACAGGATTATAGTAGGTAAGGGAGTGGGACATCTTTTCAGGCTACTTTGTAGAGGCAGATCAAAATACCTTACAGAACAAGCCCAATGGCACTTCTAAATTAAGTGGAAGTCTGCAAAACATCTCCATTTCTACCACCATGATATGAGATATTTATTTTGGTCCAATTTAATGTGAGAGAAACTGGATATACGGCCTAAGGAAAAAATACAGTTTCCTTCTAACAACCATATTGACAGTCAATAAAAACTTCACTGATAAAGGTCACACTGGAAATGCCAAGAGAGCTTTGAAGTAATGCCACTGCGAAGCCTAGTTAGTATTAACAGACACAGCGCAGTGACATGAAACCAAAGTCTTCCATTGCAACAGTTCTGACAGTTTCATTCAGAAAATATTTAAATCAATCACCAGCTTCTCAAAACACACTTGATCAAAAAAAAGATCTGCAATGTGCCATGAAAGGAAGCTCACGGCCTAGCGGAAAACGCTTCACTGATCAAAATGAACCAGAGCAAAAATGATCAGAAAAGCCAAGAATCCAAAGAGAAGGAAGGGTGATAACAGCACAGAATGGAAAGAAGGATGGAGGGGATGCTAGTTCTGAAGCAAACAGCTCATTTACTAATTCTTCACTCTTAATTGAGAATTTAAGTACCAAAAACTAAACTACATTGGGTAGATGATGCTCATTACCAGCAAGATTCAATATTTATCAGCAATCGCTGGCTTGTGTTTGACCTCAGCTTGGGTTTGTATAAAGGACTTTTTGTTTCATTCCAATAGAAATAAAAATGTTATCAAAAGAACATTTCTTGCCTCCCACATATTTGCATTTCAAATTTTGCAGCATTGTGCTAGGGCATGATCAGAAATCATTCCAGCTGAGCAGAACAATTGCTTTAATCATAGTTACTGTAGCCTACCTCAAAGTTAAATATAATTATTAAAGTCTGAAGAAAGCAGCAACCCAAACCCCTCAGGTATTCCAAGGTGCACATGGACAATAGCTTGATGCTTGATTACACACAGGGAGGTTGTTGTTTGGACTTATGTCAGCACCTGGATGAAACACTTCTGCTTTATGCCCAAGCTAGACAGCTGTGGTGATGGCTGGCTGGAGGAAAATGTTCCTTTCCTCTAATAGGAGAACTATCTTGCCTCCTGCTGCTAAATTAACATGACCCTCTCAGTCCCACACAACTCCTTAGTAAGTCTAAATGACTACCTAGTGTCAGTGGTCTAAAGGTCTTTGTCTCCTACCAATTTGCTATAAACTTTAACTGTTCCCTGCAGTGGCAGTCTGGTTATGTGGTACAACTATCCATCATACCCAAAACAAGGTTGCTTGAATTTACCCACGGAAAAAAAGAATCCAGGGCTTTTACACTGCCCAAAATTCAGGTTTGTGACTCACTGATGGCCTAAGACCAAAATAAGCACCACCACTCTGGAATAATGCCTGCTAAATCCCTGTGTTCTGATATTATAGTAATCATCTGTTAAGATACAACTACCAAGCTGCATCTTAAGCTGGAACTCCTCCATGTCAGACTTGCTTTGAGTCATTATTTCATGATGATAAAGGTGAATCACATGGGACTGGAGAGAAAATGCTCACATTTGAGAAGAGGGAGCTTTGCAGCCCAGCAAAACTCCAGATGAAGATTGGATCTAGAATTAGATCTCTTTTTGTATCATCACTGGGAGCCAGTTTTTAAATAATGCCTTTTTGTCAGAACAGGTGGAGGAAATTGATTGTAACATCCTCCTTTTCCTGCCTATTTAAGCCCCTGTAAGCCAGTGCTACTCCATAAAAGATAAAGAGCTAATCCAACCCATATCAAATGAGGATGTGGAGCCGCAAATGCACATATCCCAGACACAGCCAAAAAAATGCAGAAGATCAGAAGGTGCTCAGAAAAACATCAGTGCAAGAACAGCTGTGTAAACCTCAAGGGAAATATATTTAGAATAAGTTCACCAACGTCTGTGCAGTTACTTTATATTTGCATCAGTGTAATGAAGAAGAAGCTGGTTACTGTGCAAAACAAGTACTTTATTTCAGATGGACATCAGAAAGGCAACTGCCCAGAATACTGAATGGCCTAAGAACAACCACAGCCCCCCTCCTTCCTAGTGACAGCAAGAACATCATGCTCGGCTTTTTAGGGCCCCTGTAGATTCCTCTATTTTCAGGGTGCAGATGCTCCATTTTGTTCATCCTCTTGACAAGTCTCAACCCAGCTCCTCAGGGCAACTGAACATGCCTCTCACTCAGTCTTCAACTGAACTGAAAGAATATTGCATGCCAGCATTGAAATCATTAACAGAAAGGGTGTATCTGGTTGGGGCAGAATGCTTTTTGAGGTGGGGGTAATGTGTCCCTGAGGCACAGGCATGGTGACACAACATGCCTTTGTTTTCCTAACATAAAGGACCAAATAAGTCTATGTTAAGCATTAGCCAAACAGAGGCAGCTGATACCTATCTATTTAGACACTAAGCAAGTGACTTGGAAATGTTCTGTTCTGTCTGTTAGTTCACTGCACCTGAATGAATGATACCCTCACTTTTCTTTATTCTTTAATCCCAGTGTGCAAGCAAGAGACTAACAGGTACATTGTAAACCAAAGGAAACATGTGACTTTATTTAGGAACAGGCACAGCCCTGATCTGACTGGAGCTGAGAAAAGAAGACATGAAAAAGGCATGGAAGTGGACATGAACATCAAAACTGCAAAAGCCACAGTCATGACTTCAACACCACAGGCTGGAATGAGGATCCCAGTAGGGGACATTTCAGCAAGGGGAATGGAGGGGAGGCAGGGTTGAAGTCCTCCTATACTACCTCCTTCTCCCCTCACTAATTCTACACTGGAGTCTTCTCCTAACATGCTTTTATCAGTGTATCTTCAACTGATTCTGATCATCCTCCACTGTCAATGAAACAGCATCTCAAGCCACAGGTCCAATCCTACACTGTGTTTGAATACCAAGCAGATTTCACTTTACACTTACAAGCTGGGGAACGGGGCTTTCTCCAAGCATCACAGCTTGGAGAAGATTCTCCATACTGCGTTTTTGGGGTATAAGGCTAAGTTTTGCCCATTGGATTACCAAGCTTTTAAACACAATAACAGCACTACCATGAATCTACTTCAAAGCACTGAAGGCCTGTTAATGAAAAGTTACAATCCCTAAACAATGTCAAAGGACCAGCAGCATTTCTTAGCACACCGACTTCTCAGATAGCACAGTACAGGATACAATACAAAGCTGTACTTTTACTTGCTTGAAAATAGCATGTTTATCACAATCTCATAAATATTTCACCAAGTTTATTGGTAAGATAAAGGCATATGATCTACACCTCATGTATTTTCCTTTGTACTCCCAAGGCAGTGAGGGAGGTTCATTTATTGCCTTTATCATTACCTCCTCCTCTTCCACCTTCCACTGTTGTTTTAACACAGGCTTCAGGTATATTAAAGAATCAGTTACCTTGACTTTGAAAGTAGCTGTAGTTTTCACACCTCTCACCACATGCAATGAGGGATTTCTGCAGGTATGAGTTAGCTGCCAAGAAAGCTCCATCTTCTGCTCTCCAGAGCTTTAGTCTCGGGAACAGCAGTACATGGCACAGCACTGTTTCATTCTCCCTCTGTGACCTTCAAAAGAAGCAGAGTTGACTAACTTGATTTACTTTAAAATAACTCCAGCCTTTTATGTGTCTCTTGCCACACAATTAGCAGCACCAAGATCAAATCAAAGGAAGTATCAGATTTTACACTAATACTTTGTATCACCAAAGTAAGAGTAATTTCATCTTTCTTGTGAAAGAAACCTCACAGAAAGGGTGAGGCAGTGGCTGCTTGAAAAGCATCAAGTTAAACCTTTCAGCTCCTGTTGTAAATCTGCTGTCAGTACCAGACACATCTACAGTATCAGAAGAACCCAAGTGGAGTCTTGTGATTCTGAGAAATCCCTTCTTTTCCCTCAGCCATACAAGTTGGTCTCATTAAAAACTTTGCCTTCCAGAGCAGTGTCTTTTAGGAGAGGCATCTGGTGTCACGTCCTGTAGAAACAGCACAACACCATAGTCTCTTCAAAGAGGTTTTTGAAGTATGACAGCCAGTAGAGGCAGGAGAATGTACCGGGTGTGAACAGCTTTAATCAGTTGACTCCTATCTCCCCCAGATCCCTTGGTTTTTAATTTCTTTCTCAGTAAATGTGGGCAGCTCCCCATAACCCATTTCTGCATGAGTGTGTTAGACCTGTCAGGCACAAAGGCAGAAATGACAGATGCACCATCTCGCACCAGCAAAGTCTGACCTCTGAATCTTTCATAGAGGAATCTCTTTAGCTCTGACAGATGTGAAATATCTGGCATTGTTACTCTGGGGAAGTGATCCCTCTAGAGAAGCCTGTATCTAATGATTATGAAGAGGTGGTTTGTTATTTGTGCTTGATCTCCCTTGTGATTGTATAACCTTTTTGGGTAGCAACATGCCTGTTCTTTTTCAGTCATTTCTTCTGAATTCTGAAACACAGAGAGCTTTTGATCACTAAGAATCATCCTCAATTTTTACATATTAACAGGGCTTTCATTAACACATGAATGTGACTGAACATAGACCAATAAGCTTGTAACATCAATCCTGTCTCTTGCAACACCTTCTGAGCTAGACTTTTTTCTTCACTTAAGGTCTACCAAGGAAATGGCAGAAAGAACTCTTGATTTGTGCATTCTGTAACAATGTTTGCAGCAAGAGACATTATAAAAATACAACATGTGCCTATGAAATTCTGGGGGGTAGTTCTAGAAAACACTTTGCCACTAGAGACATAGTCAATCCATTTCATCCATGTACCTTTATTTTCCTGCCCTGACTTTAGGCTTAACCCTGCTCCTGTGCAACAAAACATTCTGCTGTTTATTCTTTCTACAGACCACAGCAAATATAGGTAAAAATCTAGGGACCCTTTATAAAAGAACACTTGTCAGCACGGCTCCTTCTAGCTTTCTAGCACAATGTGTTCAGAGAAGACTGCTGGCACTAGGAAGGAGGATGGTTTACTAGTTCTTTTGCATACAGCAAGAGACAGCATATCTGCAGCATATTCACTTTTGGGAAGGCTGACTGACCCATCCTAAATCCTAGCTTAAACAGTAGAAGGCAACTTCTAGTTCTTTATGTTCACCTGCCTTGCAAGGGCAAGGGGCAGTAATTAGAGGGCTCAGAGATCCCATGTTATGCTATACAAAGGACACAGAAATGGAATACAATTGCAAAATACCCTTTTCATTTCACATATTCCCTGAAAAGAACTAACCCAAGAAGGGAAAAAAGAGAAGGGAAGCTCACAGCCCACTTTCAGACTTCACTGAGCATAACTGACTCCTCCCCTCTTAGCCGCATACCTACTGTATCACCACATCCAGGGACCTTAGTGTGCAAAGTAGCTGAAAGCTACCATCAGGATGAGAGCAAGGCAGCTGGTGTGTGGAATCTGGAGTCTGTGTTTCACGTTCTGCCTCTTTTGCATCTTTCTTCACCAAACGACAGCTAAAAGAAAACTGAAGTTTGTGTCTGTAGTAAGTAGACAGCTCATGGGCAAACAGAACTTTAAAACCTGTCACTTCCTGCTCTTCTTGTACCTCTGGGGGGGCTTTCTGAATATTTGGCTCCTGCATATTCAAAATTCACTACTGCATTGTACAAAAAAATCCTCAATTTTCAATCAGATTCTATCATTTTGTCTCTTTTGTGCAGCCCTACATGAACTCGTCTTTCTGGATTGACAAATAAAGCTTTTTCTTTTATAGCACTGAGAGGGGAATTACACCGGATTCCTTTTTAAGTTGTACAAGAGGATTTCATAACTAAATATCAACTGGGTAAACCCCTTCATTGCCATAAGAGAGTTTCCACTTTTCCAGTGGTTTCAATGGATTACCATGCAAACCAAATTTCACTGTGAAACCCAAACAAGTGCACAATGGCATCGAATGAACAACACAGAGCCAGTGCTGGGAAACTGATGCTACTTGCAATGATTATGGTGTACCATTTGTTTGCAGGAAGCCTGATTCTTGTTCTGAACGTCACACCAGCTTGCAAATCACTTCCATACTCTTTGTGCTGCAGGTTTCAGTTTTAGTTCTCTCTACATTGATTAAGAAGTGAAAAACAAAAGCCTGTTATTTAGATTAGATGACACTTTTATCACCTCTGATTTTAAGCATTTTAAGGCTAATTTCTGACCAGAAAGTGTTTCACAGCAGTAAGACACAGAAACTGTAGCTAGAGAAGCGGCTAGGTGTTTTTCCTTAGGAATTCCCAGTTCTATCAACATATTTCTGGAAAATTACTTACATGCTTCTGTTTGTTTCCTGTTTATTTAATGTTTTGGCCTATAGCTCCCAAAGCATCTAAAATATATTAAGATATATCATAAGTTTTATATGCAAAATATAAATATGATATATATGCAATATATTAAGATGTATCATGGGGGTTTCATAAGCATGGTTTTTAACGTGCCCAAAAAAATGTTGAGCTAATTGCTTTTCAAATGGTAGGAAGAAAAGAGTTACATTTGCCTAACTAAATCAAACAGGTATTATATAGCTATCCAGACCCAAGGAAAGCACTATGAATATACTGAGCATCTGTCAGATACAGTACTCACTGTCCCTGCATTCCTTGTGACTTCACTAATTACATCCATCACAAAGGATCCCATTAAAGCAAAGGGAATTCCATCTGTTTTCCAGGTATTTCGCCATGGTGATCATACTCCACAGGAGTTTTTTCCAACTGATAAGCACAAAGAAGCTGGAAGGCAGCAAGGATATGGACAGCTTACCAAGGTGCGTTTGCTTACCTGGGCCGATACACTGAACTATTGGAATGTGGTCTGTTGATACTTGGCTCTTGGAATTTCATTTTCACTTGGAAAAAGCCCATATTCAATTGCCATATACACATCTCCAAAAGGACAGCCAAAGAACTTACTAAGAAGCTACAGCTATGAGCAGTCACTGATTTTAAAATGGCATTGAGTCAGCCTGTTCTGGTCCAACAGCAACATGTGTTGACCTGCTCTATTTCAGACTAGGGTCTTTGGGAAGGAGCCAGGCACTGGTGACCATCACAGCTCACTTGAGGCCAAACACGAAGCTTTAAACCATCAGTAGGATAAGGTAGTGGAAGTGCTCATAAACCACCTTCAGTCTCTGCTGAGCACTTCCTAGCTCATGAACTACTAAGATCAGTAATAGCCGAATCTTCTCTCATGTTATACCAGGGGAAGTTTAAAGCTTTAACTTTAGAGCTCAGCTATATTAGTGGTGGAATACAGCAGAGCTGAGCTCACACACAAGCATCAGCAGATGGTAGTAACTAGCAGCAGCAAAAGCAACTCCAGAGTCCAATTGCAGAAACTGTGTCTTTGCATTAACTGTAATTAACTGCCTCCTCTTGTGAATGGAGCCAAGAGTGAACTCCTGTACTATCAGACTGTAAGGGAATATATGGGCACTACATGCTTTGAACCCTACTTCTGCTCATTCCCACAGGTAGCACTCACTGTATCTGTGCTTCATTCCTTGTTCCTCCAAGATATGTTGCTTGGATGAAAAAATCCACTAGTTATTTGCCTAGCATTCTCAGAACCAGGCAGTCTAGCTGAAGAAGTGCCAGAAGTCTGGATGTCCCAGATAAATGGGTATTATCCATGTGTAGGCAGACTGTGAGGTGCGTGTGCAAGGACAGGCCTGTTTCCTCTCACATCACCTCCCATGAAGGAAAAGGAGTAACAGACCAGCTTCTTGTGCCCTAATTCAGCTGTGACTCACTCATTCCACAGACACACTATGCAAGTTCAGCACTACAAGCCAGCTTGCTCCAGGGCATGGAAGGTTTCTTTACTCAGGTGTCAGGATTTAACAACACACATATAAGGCAAGTTGGGGCAGAAACCTAGGCCAAGCATATGCCCTAGGAAAATGGATGCACAATTCCAGCAACAGAAAGAGGTGAGCACATACACACACAGTGGGCCATGTCTGATACCCTGGATAAAGCCCTGAGTAACTTAGTCTGACCTCATAGCTGACTCTGCTTTGAACAGGAGGTTGGACTAGAGACTTCCTGAGGTCCCTTTCAACCTGAACTATCCTATGATCCTATGACTTAGAAAAGGACTTCAGGAAGCAATGAGTAATCACTCTACTTGAGATTCCAGTGCAGCATAATGATTATTTCAACAAAGTTGAATACATTTCAATTTAGGTCAGGAAACCAAGTACAAGTAAAAAGATGACAATACTGAGGCCAGTACAGGGCTATTGCATGTGATTTTCATGCCATGTTCTTACAAAATTATGTTGGTAAGTTGGAAAATGTTCAGCAAAGAGCTACTAAAATGCTGAGTCTGGAAACCCCATTTTGCTATGAGAGTAGAGAATTGTCATCTATTTAGTTCAACACAAAGATTAAGTGAGTTGATTCCATCTTGTTAGGAATAAGATCTGTGATGGTATAGAATATGTCATTCCGAAGGCTAACAGGATCCAGTGGCTTAAAGACAGGGACATAATTTGGCAAGAACCAAGAATCAAATGGTTTAGGCTGTTGATATAATTACCCATTGCACAAAATACCTGAAGGCTTGGAGGGCTTTTATGTGAAGTCTTCTATTTAAGATTTTCAGTCTTTTTGAGAAATAAGATCTTGGTCAAGCTACAGCTGCAGCCTCCATAGGGAACTTCTGTGATTCACATCCTGGACACGTCTTCATGGACAGGCAGTTGCTCTGCCTCCACTCCCATTTAATCAGTTGTGAGCCAGCAATAGAGCAGACACTATGCAGACGGTGTTGAGACATCTATAAGCCTGCATTTAGTCCCCCTGCCCCTCAGCCAGTCTTACTAGCTTGGGTAAGCAAGACTTCCACAGAGCAAAATGCAAAGCTGCGTCAGGAAGACATACCTGACACTATCTGATACTGCAGACACAGCAACTTCACTGCTTTTTTCACCTGTCTTCTGTCCTCCTTCACTTTAGAAAGGAAAAAGGTCTTCATCAGAATAATATGAAATATCATCTCACTTTGTGGTTGTAGAAGATGCATAATGCGCTTCTGGAGCCTCTTACACTATTTTGTTACTTCCACAGCTTGGCATACAGCAACAGTACGAGCTTGGCCAGTACATGCGGAGGAGATACTCTTATTTCCTGAGCGTTGTATACAAGCAGTGTGAGGCAAGTACTGTATCTGGGAGGAAGGATGTTTTTCATGGATATTAATGGAGCTTCCTGAACGCATGAGAGTCTGGTGGTGGTAAAGAAAACGTAATGCCCATTGAATCCCATGGCATTCCAAAGTATTTCTGAAATTGTGGCTCAACTTTTATTCAAGGCTGACGGTTAACTCAAAAACACCATGTGAAAGCTTTTTAGGCTGTATATCAGGTTCAGATGACTCAGTGTTGCCTGGCACTGAGGATACTGGATCTCTCTAATGCTATACTTCCATTTGGAGTGCAGACACAGCTTAGTTTTCATTTAGGGTCCAGCAGTCCAGTGCATACACATTGTGCCAAAGCCTACATGTTCAAATGGAGTGAGTCTTACTGCTTTTCGCTAGGATTTCTAAGGGAAATGCTGCCATGTTGCAGGTCCCTTGTCTAACAAGATTTTATTCCAAGGCCTTGTTCCAGCTTCAATCTTTCTCCCTCCTTCTTCCTTATCGTTCCTTTCACTCCACTCCACTTTAATGACAGCTTCCTGTGCGTAGTACCTGTCCCTTCCTTTCCTACCAAGAGAAAAAAGCCAAAACAAAACAGGAAAAATGACCTTCAACAACTTTTATGATTCTTTCCTTGCTTTAGATTTATGTTCAAAGCACTGATTGTGATTACACACTTACGAGTGCTCAGGCAAGTCTTGCCGGGCTGTACCCACCAACACAGGACCAGATCTGGAACCCTGGAATCCTTTGGCAGCCAATTCCAGTTCATACAGTGCCACTGTCACATGACAGGGTGAGTATAAACCAGGGGCATCTGCTTGCCTTTAATCATTAGTAAAATGCCTAGGATATGAGTTGAAGGGGCAGGACAAAGGGCATGGTAAAGGCAATGAAAGGCACATAACATTACAGGCATTGTGCAGAAAGGCCAAATAAGCTGAGTAGAAATACTACTAAGAGTTTCTACAGAGACCTGGAGTTAACACAGAATGAAGCAAAGCAGAAGTCCTAGGTACAGAGAAAAAGAATTAACCTATAACACGAGTTAACACCAACAGAAGTAGATTTATCACAAACATGACTTTCTTTGTGGGAGAACAGAAGCACTGTTCTCACTAGTGCTTCAACATTTCTTAATCCACAGTCAACCACGAAAACACAGAACCATTACTTGGGGACTCTCACTGCTGTGAGAATTGAGTCAGAGGACTGTTTTTCATGCACTTGGAAGGTCAGTGCCTGCACTTTGAGGGCTGGTAGAAAAAGTAAAAGGGAAAGGGAAGGAGGACTCAGAGCTTTAAGAGCATAAGCTCACAGGGCAATGTATTTATTCATCTCTCTTCCTCAACTTCTCACCTTGGAGCTATAAGGATAGCAGCTCTGTAACCTGCATACACTTGTCCTAGAGTGGAAAGCTGGGCAGCTGAGTGGAGCTGGAGTTTCCCGTTTGTGGAAAACCCGTGGAAAAAAGCTAGGAAAGATCAGGAGTGTACAGAGTAAGTCCCAGTTTGAGAGAGGAGGTTTGCACACGTGATCCAAGACAAATTGTGTGGGCTTACAAGTCTAGCTAACTCAGCCTGTGATGGTGAATCATTTTAAATAGGCCATGAAGCAATGGTTCTCACCTTGGCATGACGAAAGCATGAAGACAGAGGGTATGGAGACACATTATCTTCCTGTTCATGCACACATCTGGTATAGAGTCAGGAGCTCCTTCTGACACTGGTACAGATGGTGGTACCCCAGCAAACAACTCCATGTTGATACATGGCCAGTATCAACACCTCTAGCAAACTCAGCAAACAGGTGCTGCACCTCAGTCACATCTAGGGGAGCAAGTAAGTTTATTCAACCAAATCATAAAGTCATGAATACATACATGTTTTTCACACTTTGTTCAACTCTATTCATCTTAACTACATACACAGGCTAAGTTTGAGACCACATATATCCTGCTATCCAAAACAACTATCTAGCATTGATTTGTAGTCATGCCTGTCCATGAACCTCTGGGTATAATTCAGAAATAATTTCCTACTTTCTGGAATAGGTAAATTCTATTTCTAAAGAGACTGAGGAACTGCTGGGAAGCTTTCCAAGCCAATTATCCCTTCAGGGCTCTCAAGTTCTTTCTGGAGTTCTTTTAACTCTGGAACTATATAGAACTTCATTACTGGAAATGGGGCAAAAACTATATTATAGAAAAACAGTGAGTGTCTCAGTGTCAAATTTTGTTTTAACTTTTGTTTAAATTGTAACATTAAAAGCTTCAAACAAGAATAAACTCAGTTTAGCTGAGATAAATGAACTAACAAAGTCTGAAGTAATCCCAGTTGCATGTAATCTTTAACCTTCATATGTCCTGAATTAAAGAAAGACAAAACTGAGCTATAGAAACTTCACAAGTTTCCACAGTTTAGCTGAACTAAATGAAGCCGTGGTAAGGCCACTAAATACAGCTGAGTATGCACAAAGAGTCCTATTGCAGTCCAGCCGCTGCTGGGTTATTTGTTACTAAAAGGTGACGATGTGTTTAAATGAGGATGGAACACAATGAGTGAAATCATCCCTGGGGAAGCCAAGCACAAAGCAGTTCACGAGAGCTTGTGCTAGCGTTCTGTCAAGGAACAAATGTAATCTTGTGTAAATGAACCCTTTAACTTTGAACTACTGCAGCTGTTACTCCTCTGAACATTGAAAGCTTATTTTGTAAGTAGTCATCAGTATGACTCTTACAGTCCTCAAGATGAATACCCTTGAAAACGACATTCCCAAATTATTCTTCAGCTTGTCTCAACTAGTGCAGCCAATCATAACAACAACCCTGCAAGGGCACACTGAACTGCAGAACAAGAAGCACCTTGCCTAACTAGTGTTCTGCAATTTTTCTTTCAGTTGCTATACTTCCCTTTCTCACACTGTCCAAAGTACAACGAGCTTCTGAGAGAAACCTTTGCAACAAGGGATTTCCAAAGGCAACTCAAGCAGTACAGGGTAAGGTATTTTCAGTTCTGGAAATCTAATTCAAATGTACCACTTCTGTCAACATTGTCTAACAGGTAGGTTTAAATAATGGCAGTCAGTAAGTGCTCCTTCCAGATCTCTAATCTTCACCGTGAGTGTAGACAGCATACTCAAAAACCTATTACAACATTCTAGATCCATCTGGACTGGGCTCTTCTCAGCAGTTTATAATTGCAAGTCATGGCAAGGAGAAACTACTGACTACCTTGCAACAAAACAGTCCATGTACCTTCCAGGAGAGCAGACAAAACAAAAACTCCGCTCAAATCAGTGCCAATACCTCGCTCTGTTAACTCCAAAGTAAATCAACTCCTCTGACGTCTCTGTCTCTCTAACTCTGTTTCTTCAGATTCCTCTTCCACCACAAAACGCTCACAGCTCCATTCTATAGATTTTCTGTTAACAGCCTCAGTGCTCTCCTCAAGTACCTGTTCATGTTTCACATGCAAAGTCTTTACTCAGGTTCTCACGTTTTGTTCTTGCCCCTGTAAGGTATCCCTTTCCCTTTCTTCCTCCACCATCAGACTCTTCCTCATGAGTACGTAATCACTTGTCTATTCTGCTGTAAACTTCTTCATGTGTTTATTCAAAATGACACTCTCAAACTCACCTAATTTTGTATAATCTTTAACCACTGGCCTCAGCCATCTCTCTGTGGCTCCGCATCTGGGTCTTGTATGCAAATGAATCACAATTCCCAGTTTTACGACATTTACATCAAATCTCCCTTCTGCTGAATACAAACATAATCATAATCCTCTGTAGCACACTTCCTCTAAGCACTTTCTGGATTTACACCAGACTTCTTCAGGTATCTGTGTCCCTTCTGTTCTACCCCCTTCCAAACATTTCCATCAAGCATAAACCACCACAGTACTTCAAAACTGAACTCAGATAACCAAGCTTGCCTAAAAGGACAGGCCAAATTCTCACACCAATAGGTAATGATTCATTGCTTAAATGTGAAATCTATCTTGTTTCTAAAAATCACTGTGTACTAGTATGGCAGTGAGTGGAAATGATGTAAAGAGAACCTGTGTACTACAAGTTTGCTTTATTGTATTCCAGCCATTTCTGAAGTTTTTAGCCACTCATACAGGATACCCATTGAAGAAGCTGAACACTGAAAGAATTTGGAAGCTCTCTGACACTTTACAACATGAGGTAAATAATATCAAGAAAATTCCCAAGGTCCAATAGAAATCCTTGTGCTTCCTCAAAACTGGGATTTTTAGCTCTTCATTCTATTATACTGATATCAATAGAGGGTGGGTCTATGTTTCCAAACTTTTCAAACCACAGACTGCTTTCAGCTTCTTCAGAAACCCTCACCTAACATCAAACTTCCAACTGAAAATCCTGTAGACACTGACTGTGTGAGGCTGCTCTGGGTTGTCCACCACTATAAGGAACACAAACTGACAGCCTATCGAATTCAAGATCCTATCAGTGACTACTTATGAAGAACTGGAGAAAAGCATACCTTCAGATAAAATGGTTTTGTTTCTCCTCCAAAGCCCATCACAGAGGTCCACAGGAATCAAATATGGAACACAGGAATAAAACAAGCATGCTTCCACAAAGATATTGCATAGGCAAGAGAAGTTATTCTTCACATATGAATAGGACTAGTCATGAATTACGCAGACATTGGAATGACAAAAACAATTGTTTGTGAAAGTTTGGAGCCTTTTCTAAGCAAAGGAACCAGGCACATCACCCAGAAATGTGGATTTTATAACAAACAGGGTGCTGTGGAGCCCAACTGTTATGGATATCTGGGTCCCACAGTCTGGTACCTCTGACTGGGACTGAAAAAACCCGAGTGCCCTTAATGTAACAAGCCCCACTTCCTGTCACTTCAAAGTGTAGATTTATCTCAGGTGGAGCAAGTGAAAACAGCTGCATCTTTTGTTAACAAGTTATTGTTGCAGGCAGCTTTCATTACAAATGCTTTCATGCATAATTTGTTTAACATTTAAATATTAATGATTAATTGATCACCAGTATTGGGAGATCCCCTAGAAAACTAAGGCAGTTTTAAGGCGGATTTCACAAGCAACATGAAATACTTGGGTGTGATCATAATGAATTTACCTTTTGCCCTGCAGTTTCTGCAAAGGTCCAGCTTTGGTAAGAGTGGTCATGAATGGAATGTCAGCCAGGGCCTTAAGTTACATGAAATGTTAACACGTTGGCACATCTCACTAATTTCGGTGAGATCACCCTTCCGTGTTTTTAAATGCAGGATAGGTCAGGACCACAATGTTTTATTTCAATTGCTATGTCATACTCAGAAACCTGAGTCAGCAGAGAAAGGTGCAAAATGCACAGCTGCCATCAGGGATCCAGATAAATGCTGGTAGACAAAACTAATTAACTGGGTTTTTTTTCCTTCTAGTGTTAGATTTGACGAGCTTTGGTCTTTCATAGTACTCAGTGAAGACTGGGGGTATGAGTTAAGACAGCTACCAGAAAGGTCACTCTCACCCTTTCAAGCATACAAAAAGAGCCTTCTTACACAGATTTTTAAACACAACTCATGAAACTACAGGAGCATGCATCTCTCTGTATTTATTACTTTTGGCTAAGTGTCATCTGACTTTCAGGTAACTTGGAGACTGAGGTGCCTGTGTGCCTACAGCACTGTCTTAAACAGCAAGTCACAGGACACAAATCACATTTGTTAAAGGAGAAAGTGAGACATTGTGACCTGAGCTGCTTTAACCAAACATTTTCTATTGTTTCACTTGTTTAAATAAATCCTTCCAGTAGTTGGCATTTTCCTTGGAAGTCATTGTTACAGGAACACTCCCTTTGGTGAGATCAGCCCAATGGTTACCTCCCACTAAAGGAGAGATACCAACCTTGCTTAAACAGGAATCCAAGGGTATAAGTGAAACCAGGAGAGCTGGGTGTATCTTTCCCCTTTGTAGTTGTGAACATTAATGTACCTTGGGTTGAATCCCCAAGGAAAGACTAATCCATCCCACTTCAGCCTGAGGACTACAGCAGTATCCAACAGAACTGGTATAAGTACGTATGAATTCCATCTATCTAGCTAATCCCTATGCATATACCTCATATTCTGGTACACCTGAATTATAGCTATACATATTCCTAATTCATCTCTGGATCTCAACTGCCAGCCCTTAAAACTCTGGCATGTATATAGGATTTGATTCAGTAAGCATCTCAGGATATATCCCAGTAGATGGCTGAAAGAGTCACCAAGTGATTTTTTTTTGCAGTAGACAATTGCATTAGCAATTGGCACAAATAATGCCAGTTGCTTTTTGCATGTTCTTTACTATTATTTTTCCTCTTGTTGAATGCTGCCCTTCAAAGTTGTTTTCCGCAGCGTGATGCCATAAATAGGAATTCTACAGCTGTCTAAATGCAAAATACAGTCATTATTGAATGTTACATGACTGAAATGCTCAGAATTTACTCTGACAAGCATCTTGTACCAGAACAAACACGAGTTAGCAGCAGGAATCAATAAGAAAATCACCATGTTTTCTCTCTTCACTACAGGATATTAACAATTACACTGTACCTGTTTGGGCTACTCATGGTGTCAGGACCAAGCTAACAAAGCTCTCGGAATTGTTGCTGCACGCGGAATTTGGGTTCCACAAACAAATACAGAAATCACGTTTGCAGGGAGGTAAGCTGAATTCTTACCCCATTTAAAATCTACAATAGAATGGAAAAGAAGGATATATAATAAACATTGACACCAGTTCTGTAGTAAAATGGCAAAAGATGCCATGATGTGGATACTGGTGATCAGCACAGACAGATTTTGATTAATGGGAAGAGAGGTGGTGAGGATATGAATCATGAATGTCTTAATGCAATGTTATAAAGGAGATATCGTATTGATCACACTGTATAAGAAACCCAAAGTAATATGCAGGTTCTTGCTGAACTGAATGAAATCTGAACTTAATGTAAGCCACCAAGCTTAACTTACTTAAGAAAGTATTACTTGTATAATCTCCAGGATGTAACTTCTGTTGCCTAACTGTCTTCATATTCCATTACTGAAAGTACTAAAATGAGATTAACTGCTTCTAAACTTTATTCTGCTCAGCAAATTGTAGCTGAAATTTAGAACAGTTTATACCTTCTCTAATCGCTCATTCTCCTCCACTCATTCATTGTTACTTGGTTTCGTTTCATATGGACACTGTACAGTCAGGAAGCATGGATCAATTCATTTGCTGGTTTGGAGCTCCAACGTACAAAACCAAGTACAAAGTTCAAACCTCTGCTCTTGCGTTACTAACAACTGCTGTTAAAAAAATGTGCCAGTAGCTGAAGACAACACGTGTCTTATTCTGCTGGCATGGGCAGTTCTCATTTTAGGATTTTAATTTGTCAAGATTCCAACCTTGTGCTAACATACTAGCACAGCCATTGATTCAATTCATATTTTCAGTAGCTAACATTAACAAAACACAGACAACCACATCATTCAAGAAGGCCAGAGTCCAATGGATATGCTCTTTCTCTGGAAATCATGAAGCCCATGGAGTTACACACAAAAGAGGGTAGGATGATTCATTACCATGCTCTTCTTGCGCTGTTCTGCTGGCACACAGTGGCTTTGAATTCACAGTTTGAAGCTATTGAGGCTATTACGGGTCCCCAAAACATCTGACATAGAAAATAGGCCTGCTGTTCACATAAAAGATAGTTGTCATAATTAACCAAGGCACTCTGCACAAATTACCTGTAAAGTCAATTGAATAAATCTGGTGCATTTAAAGACAGATTGTGCTAAACCAGCAACAAGATGTTATCACGAGCATTACTCTCATTTTCACTGCTTCCCCATTTTGTTTCAGGTATTCTGTTAAAAACTATTCTAAAGCATATCTCAGATGCTAGAAAGCCTTCACACCAGCAAAAAATGGTTATGTATTCTGCGGTGAGTCCTTTCTGTTTCTTTTATGCTCTTTTTCTGCAGTTATTAAATGCAGTGAAAGCCATGAAATTTTATTTCCTTCATGAAATACCGCTACAAGCACTTTTTATTTGGTTAACCTTCAATATAATTGGATTATTTTCACTCTGTAATGAACAGATCCTACTTTGAAACCTGTAGCATTCCATTTCTCACCTGATGTCACGGCTTGTTTCGTTGTAATATTGTTTTGATCAAGCAGAGAACTGGAAAAAACCATGACTCATGTTTTGTTGAACTATGCCTTATTTTACTGAAATTCTATCACAAAGATACTTCAGAAACAAACCCCCTGCTTCCTGCATCTTTTCCAGACAAGAAAATGAAGTTCAACTTAGTTATTTTAGAAGGTCTTACAAAGGCAGCTACTCAACTGTTTTGTTTAGGATGTGCAAACGCTGTCACTGGAGAATGAAATAGTTGGGTTGCTCTTGGTAAAAAGCTCCTCTTTATAAGCAGCAGTTAGATTATGACCTATCAGGTGCATATCAGCCAAAGAGCTAACTAATCTGATCTAAAATACTCTTTATCTAACATGCAAAGCCACTAGTTCTTTTTAGAAGTTTTTACAGCTCCTACTAACCTCAATAAGAAGTACAAGTGACTAAGACTTCTTTGATATTTAGAGATATGCATATTTTACACATGTAGCATCTCAGTTCCTACAGCCACCATAGAACTGCTTAATGTTGCAGAGGGCAGAGGGCAAGTATTAATGAGGCCCCATCAGCAATGTTAAGTGGACAGATAACAGATAATGTGCTGGACATATTGTTAGATAATAGGTACATGCAATCATTTTCAATAGGCCTTTAATGAAAGGTTTCTTCTATTTACAGCATGCAGCCACCATTGCTGCCTTACAGACAGCACTCAATGTCTTCAATGGGAAACTGCCTCCTTACAGTGCCTGTCACTTTTTTGAACTTTACCAGGAAAAAAACGGGCAAGTATCTGCAAGCTGGACTGAGAACATACCATCTTTCTAAAAAGCAATCCCCAGATGACTTGAACTGGATACAACAAGGCTCACGATGCACAAAAAGACTATAGATTTATTGGAATTATTACAATTTGACTCAATTTAGCAGCTATTGATAGTAGCGGAATCACAGCACTGCAGCCTGAAAGCCCCCTATATATTAGTTCATTACAGTAATGAGAGGTTTTACTCTACTCTTTTTATCTATTTAACTCCTTGATTCTCTCCCAAGCAGACAAATGACATGCAAATTGCTGTTGACCATCTATTGTTTAAAAGATCCCTTCAGACTACTAATGGCACATATTAACAGCCAGAAAAATTAGCTGGCTAGAAGTTTGTCCCAAAGTACTTCCCCCTATATCCTGGAAAGTCGGAGTGGTTCTGCACACCTAACTTTTGATCCGTCTGTATCTTGGAACAGGCAATACACCATAGAAATGTACTATCGGAATAATACTCAGAGAGATCCTCACCCCCTCACTCTCCCTGGCTGCAAATTTCGCTGTCCACTGGAGAGATTCACTCAGTTGGTCACCCCAGTCCTGGTACACTACTGGACAAGAGAATGTAGGAGTAGGACATAAAATGAGGTGAGTTAAGTGCTTTGGGGACATGTAGCCAAATGTAAAGTCAGGATTACATCTTCTGCCAAGAGCTCACTTGAGGTAACAAGCATTTTCATAGGGGTCTGGTATGAAATTAAAAATATGCAGGTCCAGTAAGACAGAATTGTACCCACTGGCCATAATTTCTACTCCATTGACACATTTATCTACTCCAGCCCATCTTTCTGGTGAAATAGAAGCTGATAAACAACATTATGCATTCCCTTGATTGTAGGAGACATTCAGAGATCAAAACAGATGAATACTGAATAGCATACCCAACCAGTACTTACCAGAATGTCAAACATATACAGACACACATTGGCATACTAACACATTCCCTGGTAGGTTGTCTCTATCTCAGTATTAGGATGTCTGACTTTCCATTTTGACCAGTTATGATATTTACATTTGCAGAAAGAGAGAACACGAAGATAGATAATTACATTCTCTCTCTTGTAGCTAGCTCTATGTTCCTTAAGGGAGATGAAAAGCAAGTAGGCTCCAGGTTTCAAAAGTGTCCCCACTTTTTTTGATGATCAAATGTTCTACCTAATGTTATAAAACACCATATGGCTTTCTGAATCACTGCTCTCAAGAAGAATTTGAAATGTTAGTGATCAGAAGAATGAAGGCAGCCAACCCACCTGCTTACAAATCACTTCCAGTTCAACGTCTGGAATCCATGAACACACTGGAAATAGTTCAGTTAGAATGAATGAAAAATGAGCACCTAACAATTCACTAAATACATTTCATCACCATGTTTATTGCTTACAAATTCTCAGGAGACCTATCAGGAAATGACCATATTTAATTGAAAAAGGTGATGAATTCCTTAGGGGAAGGAGGATGTTGGTTCTAATGACTTTTATTTGGCCAAGCACTAATTTAGCCATGGAAGACATGGATAAGTACTTCACGTTTATACTGCGGTACTTAGTAATCTAGGTTTTGTGGAAATCAGTTCCCCTCCTTCACAAAGCAAACTGTTTAACTGGCAGAGTAATTAAGGAAAAAAATCATATAATCAAAATTTGGCATGAATAAAGATAGAAATATTTAACCTTTTAAGATTAAAAAAAAAAAAAAGGCTGTGCACTGTTTCTATTCTAGTTCTCAAATTTTGCTTAAGTAGAAGCTAGATGGTGTTCAGGCAATTTACACCAAGTCCAGCATCACTGCTCACAACTGCCTTCATTAGTAATCAAACAGTATTTGCCTTGGGTGACATGGTCTAGTGTGAGGCATCCCTGCCCATGCCAAGGGGCTTGGAACTGGATGATCTTAAAGCCCTTTCCAACCCAAACCAGTCTGGGATTCTATGATATCAAAATCTGCCACTTTCCCCAATTTTATCATGGTTCAGAATGGTTCAATTTCAGTGACTGTTGGGTCCAGATCCCAATTCTGGGGTCATAACTCTTGTCCTGCAGGCAGCTGTAAACTCTCTGCTATGCACAAGTGGCATTTGGGGAAATGCCAAGGCACACAGCTCCAGAGCCTGCACAGCATAGCCCACTGGCAGAGCTAAACCACTGGGCATTACCAATGCTCAATGACTGTAGATAGGCTGGAACACCATGGAGCTGAACTGAAATGAAAAGTGATACAGAGTTTATAGGTCACATTTGCACCTAATACACACACAGCTGCAACATCACTGTTTTCATCTTTGTCAATAATAATCTCAAATATTGTCCTTTGCTAAAGCACGTTAATACTTTGATTATACATGCCTCAGAGCATTTGATTAATAGAAGCCCATAAATGTAATTCTTCTTAATGAAATCCAGTAAAGTTACTGCAGCCATGCACCCAAACTGAGCTGTTCCCAGAAAATGCTGAAGTGAAGCTTCATGGAGATGACTTATATGTGCAGTACATGAAAATATAGAGGTTAGGCAAGCATTACTATTACAGGTCACAGAAGAGAGTAGCAGTATAAATCAGAACCAAGTTCCTCTGCATGACAGTGACCACAGTGTGGAACACAGGAAGTGGAGATAGCTCAGCATATTTGGCAAGGAGATTCCTCTGTGCTCTTTTGGCTGCTCAGGAAAGTTTTGGTGTGGACTGTCTCGCCATTTCAACAGACTTTTCCTAATTCCATCAAAATGGGAGCAAATTTGTTAACACTTCTGAACTTAGGCTGAGCCATGCACTTCTTGAGGTTTTATTAACAGATTTGCCATGGTTTTGGAGAATGAGGCCATTTGCTATGAATGATTCTTTCTTTCTGTCTTACTTTTAGGTGTTCCCTCCATGATCTTCAGTGTGATTAGCTTCATGAAACATCTCCTCCCACACTGGGACGTGACAACAGTCTAACATTTCTCATTAACTTCCATCACATGCCAAACAGTCTCCTGATCACTATCAACAGAAAACATGCCAAAATTGTAAGAAGTGGTGACTTATCCATCATGAACATTCACTTCATTTTATCAAGTGGTAAAACCCAAATGCAGTACAAAACCAGAGTACTATTTCAACACCCCTTGATTTCAAAAGGACTTTGGCAGGACTAATTCAAGAATGTAATTGTAGTTCTAGTGTTATGAAGGACTACAGCCTTAAATTTCAGCAAAATTGGAAAATACCTCTAAAGGAGCGTTGCTCTCTTTTGAAGAATGAGACAAGAACTTCCAGAACTAGTGAGGGAAGCAGTGCTTCAAAAGAAGCTTCCAAAAGGAGGAGTCATCCCAGTGTACTTGTGCTTTATTTTATTCAAGAAGTAATGAAGTATTTCACACAAACATATCTCAGAAGCTACAAAAACTAGGATAATGGCTGTTTACTTAGCTAAGAAATGTCTTTCTCTTTTCTCTGTTGTATACACGTACAAATATCCCACCCCTATACAAAAGGAAGGTGAGACTTACAGAAAGAATGGACCATGGCTCTAGACTTAAGAGAAGCCTGTAAACAGCCAGGATGGCTACCACGAAGACCTGGCAGGCAACTGTCTAATCTGACACGGCTTTCCAATATTGAGCCATTTTACCTCTTTCCAAAAAGCCAGCAAGGCCAAGTGTTAATTTTGAAAGAAAAACCATTTGTGGTTTCAAAAACCTCTTCAAACACCTTCTTTTTGTTACGTTACCTTGATTGTATACCCTGATCTGATCATATAAAGTCTGCTCTTCAGGAAAGACTGTCAGCCCCATGCTGTTCTTGATGTCAACAAGAGAAAAGGTGGATCAGAACGATCAGATGCAACTAACTTCTGAAAACAGGGGAGCTTTCTTTGCTTGCAGAACTAGGCTTCACGACTTTTCCTTTTCTCACAGTGGACAGGACCTTTTTCAACAATCTGATTGCTCTCAGGTCATTTCAAAGAGTAACAGATGACATGCAGAAAATTTTGCCATTTTAGACTCTTTTCCATGGACCAGCCTTCTAAAATGGATACTAAGCCTATGAAATGTATATCCCTTTTTAGAACTACAGCATAGGCAGATAACTGCTATCCCATAAGCTACAAAAGAATCAAAAGAATCAAAAGATCGCCTCCTCCTTTAGCAAGAATTCAAGTTTCAGAATTCTCACTGTAAAACCCTTCTCTTCTCAGCAGGACCCAGCAACAAATCCTGTGCTTCCTAAGCCAGCATAAGAAACACAGTTCATCCAGAAGAGCTATAGCCAGATTTCACAGCAAAGAAATTGTAACACATAGATAAAAATGAATTATTCTCTCTTTTGAAAAAAAATGCAAGCACTTTTACCATAGCATCCAAACAAGGATAAAATGTTTTCCAACTGCATGAAACAGTCAGTTCTAGCTCTTTCTTAATACACATTAAAACAAGCTTGTTTTTTGCATATTACCTTAACACCCATAATGGATACCAGCAGAAAGCCTTCCCAGCTCTGGCAGACCTCATAGGACAGGTAGTGCAAGCCATTTAAATGCTCCATCTCAAACCCATGCAGCTGATTATCACTCCTCCTGTAACAAGAAGTAATTCAAATAAAAATTGATAAAAGAAAGCAAATAGAGAGGAAAGTTTCAGATTTTATGTTTATTGCTATTAGGCATCTAAAAAGATTGTAGACTTGGCTGCCAGAAACAAATTCCTAGGCATCCTTTCTTCTATTATGAACCTGTTCCTATCTCTGCATGAAGACCCTTCTTTTGTCCTACAGATTTGTCTGTTATGGGTGACCATGGAGCTGGACCACTGTAGTTCAAAACTATGGAAGTGCATCCTAGCTAAGGCCACAACTCACAGAACACGAATAGAAGGTGGTTTTCATCATTTTTACATCACACCATCAGACCACGTGTCCTAGTGAAAGTACCTTGAACATTCTGATTTCATTTGAGTAAAATCAGATTTCAAATGTAATCTGCAAATTAAGAGATTTCAGAATTATTTTATTCCCCCAATCCCCATTCAACAGACACCCCATCACCCCATCATACACATTCTTTAGGAGTTTTTTTGCTTTTAGGATTGTCACTGTAGCAACACAGAAAGAAGACTTCATTTATACCTTGCTTACCCCAAAGAAAAATAAACACCAGTGTTCATTAAGTCTTAAACATCAATCCCAGCTCTTACATGACTATAAATTGGGGATATCACTGGATGAACAATAAAACACTCTAAATGATGTTTTCCTAACACTGCACCAGCTGACTCCATTTGAAAACTCTGTTCCATAGTCTTTTGTAGGTTTGAAACCACAAACAGTTTCATTTCAGTTCCTCTTAAAGAAGAAATGACCAACGTATTACAGTTCAGCTTTGGAATTATTTAGAATACAAAGTAAAAGGTTTGTGTTTATTTGGGTTTTTTGTATCATGTTGCAAAAGCAGAAGCCCATGAAAATGCAACTCCCTCCCGTCACAAACAATGCATAGACAGTCCAGTCATGGTTTAAAGAAGGCTTGCTATAGTACAGTAACCTGAATAGTCATAGATGCTGTAATATAGGTGAGGTGTAGCTCATGATGTTCACTGTTTTTCCTGTTACACAGTGGTGGACTTGTCAACCCTGGGTGAAGGTTGGACTCAATGATTCTAAGGGTCTTTTCCAACCTGGTTGATCCTATGATTCTATGGAAGTAGTACTACAAATAGGTCTTCCTTCTTTTGACTCAGTGCTTAGGGACTCACCTGAGATGTGGCAGACACAAGTTAAATCCCTCCTTTCCCCAAAGGATCTGACTCTGTATCTTCCAGAAAATAAAATCATCACCAGGCTGCAGAGTTTCAGAAGGAAAATGAAGATGAACAGTGCTTTCTGCCTCTTCCTCACTGTTGTTCTCTTTGCTTACATATTCCCTGGTGTACAAATTAAGCTGCTTATTTCTTAGGGAAACATCTTAATCATAAGACCAGAAATAGATTTTCTGAGTGCCCTGTAACCAGGTGAATGCTACAAATTTGGGTTAAACTGAGAAATTATTAGAAGACATGGAATAGTCACTTTCTTCCCTCCTCCTGCCATAGAATACTAACTGTGCTTAGGGCATTTTCACCTGTAGCACAAGATAAAGGTTCATGTGTTGTCATCAGCCTAAGTTAATTCTTCCTGTGTCACAAATTAACTCCTTTGGCCCTTTCTACTCCCCACATAGGGTGAAGTCACCCCAACACAGCACTGCAAGACAGTAAATGCTTCGAAATGGTGCTTAGAAAATGTGTCACTTTGGCTTCTGAAACCAACATTTTTATTATCTTCTCCTTTTTCAACTGAAATAAAGCCTGAAAAAATAGTTGCAGATAAAATGCAAACTAGGTTAAGTGCTGATCTGCAAATTCAGTCAGTAAAAAAACCTGAGCTGTTTCTCCATGTGAGCAGCCTGGCCCATGAGCACAAGCAGCAGTTTTATATCCTGCTGCCTTGACTGCAATGATTTCCACCCTTTCAGTGTGTAGGTTGTGCTCCACCAGCAGCAGTTACCTACGGTAACCCTTGTGTACATAAAAGCGTGGGTTCTTTAGCAACCAGTCCACTTCAAAGCCAATCTAGCTATGCTTCAGCAAGCCTTCAAGACAGATACATGCACTTAAAAGGGACAATTATGTTTAAGCTAATTCCGCTTAATGCCACAATTTCATCATTAAAATATATGCCAATAAGCCAAATTAACATAAACATGATTCAAATTGTTTAAGGCCACTTGCATGATAATGCTTGGGCAGTTGCAACTAGATTTATTTAGGAATTCTTTTCTTCTTTTGGAGCAATTTTTCCCCTAAAGGATAAGGACCTGATGGCTGCAGAATACGAGTAGTTTCCATCTGCCAAATGCACAGTAAAAATGGAAACAATCAAGACAAGCAAGACAATTCCCAAATTAAATACATGCTACCAACATACAGCTTACCTACAGGATTCTTACAGGATGCTGTCTTCACCACTATGGCACATGAATGAGGGTATTCTTCCATTTTGGAATGTGTAGAGGTTTATTTAAGACTCGGTGGTGTCATTCTTTTTGGCATAAAATCATCTCATTAGCAAAGTATACATGCCAAAGGGAAGAGTGAAGCCACAAGCAGCAGAACTACTTGTCACATACTTGCTCTTGGGTTGAAATATCATTTTTTAAGAGATGCTAGCAAAGATTTTCTGTAAAATGCAGTTGTTGTATGTTTTCAAACATTCCTGTTTGAAATTCCGGTGATGTTGGATGGCAAATTGAGTTCCATGCTAAAGAGAACTTACTATGAGGGTTCCATAATAATGAGACTTCATTGGTCATAGTCACTCATTGAAGAAAGACAATAAAGCAAGAAAACTTGTAAAAACAAACCAGTTATGAATCTCATGGTAAGGGTTTAGGAAGGACAAGAAACAAATCTGAGAGCCAACAAGGATTCCTTAATCGAAAAAGCTTAGGAACCACCTATCTAAAACAAGACATAGATTGAAAAATAGGATATGCATTATTGATTTTGAGGCACTCCTGAATAGCAGAGGAAGATGATCAGCTTATTTTTGCTTTCAAAAAGGCAAAGTATTATATATTCATGAAGTTATTTTCTTACACTTTCTGCATAGGCACAATCATTACAGGAGCACAATCACGACAACCAAAAAGGACGGCGGAGATGTATCAGTGGAGAAAGAAACTTTAAGGAAGGGTTCAGAACTGGGCATGAACTGACAGGAGCCTGGGAGCTGTGGTCCTTCTCCCTTCTGCTCCCACCCATCTGAACAAACAGATACAAAAGGTCATTCACACAACTCAGAGAAGACAGCATTTGAGGCTTAGTAGGACTTAGGTACCTAAAGGCAGAATTTCTGGTACGTGGTAAAATACCTGCTGTAGAGAACACTGTTGCAGAGAGCTGGAGAGAGGACCCCAAGAAAGGCATTGATATAACAGTAATGGGGTTACTTGGACAACACACAGGGGATCTCAAGTTCTAACATTTAGAGAACTCTGTTTATAGGCCTCTGCAAAATGTGACTCATTTACTCAAAAAATCCTTACGAAATCAAGTCTAGAAGTATCATTATTTTATAAAGAAGAAGTCAGCAGAGGCAAGCTGAGCAATCTTCTCAAAGCCAGTGAGCTGCTGTTCTGGAGTGTTCTCAATCAGTAACAATAAAAACGTGAGCTCCAGGGCTTGCTCATCTCTTAGAGGATTGAAGCCAAAAAAGAACTTGACGTAAGCAGTTACAAAATGGGAAGTATACATATACTCCAAGTGAAAGCAAAGCAACACACACAAGTTGAAGAGTGAGTAACTGCCTAGCAAGGATCTTAAAGAACATACTTGTTGCAAGATTTATTCAACTACCTGAGGAACTCTAACCCTTAACCTATAGAAAGTGTTGTTTGAAATAATTACTCTGATTTCACTGTGACAGTGTAGAAGATGAAAGAAAAAAGGCAGGGATGCAGAAATAAGACTGAGCAGCAGAAAGGAAAGAGAAACAGCTTTACCTTACTCCTGGTTATCCTCATGGCTGTGCTATGGTCTGGAAAAATTCCAAGCTCTGAGAAATGGAAACAGAACAGGTGGGTTAAAAAATTAGGAATGCTTAGTAACTCCTTCTAGTTTAAACTCATCCTTAAACTCCAAAAGAGAAAAATACCAGACAGAAAAGGAACCGAATTATGATTTTATTAAACAGAATGTAAACAGTCATTTGAAAACAAAGGGCAATGCAAATTGTTGTGTAGTCACACAACATTCCTCTTGGATTTGAAGTTCACCAGCAGCAGTTCCACCCCTTTTGAAAGTACAGCCTGACGTCTGGGCTGCTCAGCCTGAGCAGCTGCTGGAGCTACAAAGCCTGTTTTCATCCTCTGCCAGGATGGGAGTGATATGGCTTCCCAACCCATCCAGGATCCTGTGTTTTTCCTTTCATATTACCCTCCTTCTGCTTCAACAGACTACTGCAGAAAGGGAACTGAAGTTTGTGGTTGCAGTAAGTAGCTCTGTTTCCTATTTTGTTGCATGGAATATGGGGAATTTGATAATGGCTGTCGAATCAAACAAGGTGTGTAGTAGCTCTGCCTCTTTTTTAGACTTAGGAATAACTACTGCTGCCCTTCTGCTTGCTGAGTTTAAAGATACAAATGCCTCTGGAGATGAGAATTTTCATCTCCTAATGCCTACTTATTCTTTCAAGATAACTGAACAACTTAGCTTTGTTGTAGACACATAGTACAAGGCAGTTAAGAGATCTGAGGTCTAAGTTTGCCTGTTCTTGCTTAATTTAACTGACACTCTGGTGCATATTCTGAGAGCTGGTGATTATGGCCTACCTTTTCTGTGCTTGAAAGCTGAAGCTTATGATGTTTCAGAAGTTACCACAAAACCAAAAGTAATTTCCATTTCAGAATAACTGAACTGGCACAGCAGTATACTGAGAAACAAAAAGGGTTATTTTTATGTAGAGATTTGAGATACATGTTGCCTTAACTACAATTAATGAGGCTGAAAATGGACTTTTATAGGGGAATTTTGCTGGGCCATTTCTTATTTTAAAGTAACTAGACACTAACTCAGTGTCACCTTCCCCAGAGTTCTCAGGTGAAAGACAGATTAATTCAATGAATTAGTTTAGATTGTGAAGACAGCATCATAGAATCATAGAGTAGTTAGGGCTGGAAAGGACCTTAAGATCCTCCAGTTCCAACCCCCCTTTTTATTCCAATTTCTTTTTTTAATAAGAGGTATTCTGCTAAAAATATCTAAAGGGATCTTCTCAATACAAAGTTGTGGAGATTGGAATTCATAGTCATAAATAGGAATTTTAAGGTCTGCTTCCTCCTTTCTCTATTTGAGACATTATGTGCACATACAGAAAACAGACAGAAGTACTGTGTCCAAAACATATCAACTAGCTCCACATAAAATACTTCACATCTAGGTGTCTGCTGGCTGCATTGTAGATGTGCCGCTTGGAGAGAGGCCAGAGAGCACAGGAAAAACCAGTTCCTACTCCTGCTCAGGCTTATGGCTCCAACAGACACTACACACAGCAGGATTCTGTGTATAGCAATATACTGAACTGTTGTTTCAGTGATAAGAGGGAGAACAGGACACACAGACAAAATCAGGTAGTCAGAAAGCCTTGCAGAATTAGCTCTATGAAGGGAAGGAGACTTTTATTGAACCGTAGCTGTTCTTGTGTTCTAACAAGCACTGGGTTTGCAGAAAGACTTACAGGAAATGCTCATCATTATGGAGTTAGAGGCTTCTTATCCAAAATCAGCTTCTTACCACAACTACACGGCCACCTACCAAACAAACAAACAAACAGACATGACATCATTTATTTATAGGGTAGCTTATCCCAATTAATATTAAAATAGAGGTAAATTCCATTTAAACTGTCTTCCTTTTATCCCTGATACCTTCCTCAGACTGACCAATCTCCCTAAAACGTTACAACAGGTTTATTCTTATGATCAACATACATCTCTTTTAACAAAGCATGGTTTCTGTGCGTTCAATTGAACTTTGCCTTCTGCACTCATGGACTGGATTTTCATGGGGACAGAACTGCTAGCATAAATAAATCGGATAGGAATTGGCCCCAGAGCATTTCAGTGGTATAATGGGATATAATGACTGTGTGGCTACAGTTAAGGTAAGTTTGAAAGGCATCTTCCTGCGATAATTCAATAGCCATTTTCCAGCTGTACTCTGCAACTTGCTATATTTTCATCTGAGAGTATTACTGCATTATGAAAGTGTGTCATAATGGCTTTTTAACACTTTCTTAGCAGAATTGCACAATATAAAATCCATCTGCAGGGGAGTAAAACTCAGCCAAATGTTCCCTTTTGCTCACTTCTAGAGCTGTTCTGTGCTCCCTCTCCTCACATTTTCCATCTTTGTGCTGATTCTCTGCATTATGATTACTGGCCACAAGTCCATTTGTCTGAAAACCTCTAATTTCAGACAATTTGTCAAAATGCTCTCTCAGTCTTCTTCCTCACATGTACGCATCAATCTTCACCATAATTCTTGCACACTGAATTTAAACTAGGCAGAAGAGAAGAAAACAGGTAATACACAGGACCATCGATTACCCAACTAGAAATGAAATACTGATTTATTGCTTTGGTATACAGAAGTTTTGACCTCTCACTTCTGCCTCTGCACAGGCATGCATTTCACTTGTCATATATACAAAGAGGTGTGGTTTCTGAGGTGCTGCGATTTCATCATGTCTTTCTTCTTGTAACTCAGCATAGGAAGTGTTGTCTGAGCATGTTATCTGTCTGTTTAATCAAGCCAAGCCATTTGGAAACTTGACTAGACTTGCTCGGTATTCCTATGGTTTCCCTGCACTGGCAGTATGATTGGTTCTATTTCTCTCTTGTTTCTTCACTCCTATTGCTGGCTTCAAAACAAGTCACCTTTTTCTTTTAAGTCGGGTCTGTCAATGAAAACATCTAAGTTTTCTAAGTAAAATAATCCACAGTAATCCATGGCATTTCTGAATGAAGATGTTACATATATTACCAATGCCTTACTCTCAGTTCACTCTCTCCCCCACACCAGTTTTCTTCCAACACGATTTTTCATCTGTGATAACAACAGAAGCAAATGCTGGCCAAAACCTGAGTCCTGTGGCCACTCTGATCTGAAGAGACCACCCTCACCAAGTTACAAAGAGCGAATGGGAGTATCCAGACACCAAATCAGGTTCAAGCTACATTAGAGTTGAAGGAGAGGGTATTTGGTAACTGTCCATCTGTTCCTTTGGAGAAGTGACTGAGGTGAAGCACTGCAGATAGACAGAAGTGCTGAAATGAACTTGCCAAACAGGTCTGCTTTGTTCTCTTCATGCACATTCTCCTTGCTCTCGCTTTCTTCTTGGTTTCTAGTATCTTTTCACCTTTTATGAGGCCTCCTTGTTCCTTTTTGCTCATCCTGCCATGTTCTGTCTTCTGAAAGGTCAGGAAGGCAATGTGTAGCCCAGAAGCAATAAATGCTGCAGCACATATGCTTTTAAATTAATTTGAAGCTTGGTAGGGATATATTTTCTTTCCCTAACAGTATCAGGTGTTCTAATGAAAAATACAAACTTCCAAATACACAAGCTCTTCTTAAAGGCTTACACTTTCTAACAAAACAGTCCATTAAAAAGTAGCAATGACTGAACAAGTTAAGCCTTTTAGGTTAAATGGTTGTTCATAAGGTCCCTGTTTCATTTCCAGCTACAGCTGAAGCAAGGTCACTTTCAGGAGTAGCAAGCAAGAAGGAGGTCTGAGCGCAAACATCAGTTGGAAGAAAAGCTTAGTTCTTCAATTCCTAAAACCAGGGTTCTGCTCTTAGATGTCATTGTTTCTTTCTTCCCAGTTCCAGCTTAGTGTTAATACCATATTTCTATGTCACTGTGCAATGAAGATGCAGAAATACAAACAAGGAACTGATTTCTATTTTGTGTGGACTTGGAGAATCAACACCCTCCACTGCTTCCATTTCTTAAGGTTACAAAGAGAGAAAATATTTTCCTTTACATCTCCTGCTCCCCCATAGATTTGAATATCTTTTGATCTCAACCTCTTTGCCCTCTAACCTCTGTTCTGGCTTACTGAAAGATTTTAGGGTTTCAGTGATGTGACTGTGAAATACACACTAAGGGTTATGTCGCACATTAAGTATAAGGTATTGTAAATCAGTATTTAAAATCTAGCACATTTTCAGTAGTTTTTCACTGAATTCACTGGCCAAGTGTTGATCCATTGCTACATATCTCCTAAAAAGAAATAATAATAGCCATTTCGTCATGTCAGTTGGTTTGAGCAAGTGTCAGTTACTCATTAAAATGCTTTTCTGTGAAGTTGGATAATTTAACAAGTATGCACACACATTGCAATTGGGAATGTAACCTTCATTCTTTACAGAGGCATCAGCTTGTCCAGAAAAGCTAATGAATCCTACCTGACACCAGTGTATGCCAGCACGTCAAACCACCAAGGAAACAGCAGTGACACCAAAGTCCTCCTCTCTCATTTTTCCCCCATGCAACTGAATCAGACAGCAGACAATGTAGCTCTTTACTTATTCTCCTGTTCAATAGAGGTTCACTAAGAAATTGCTATTGTAAACCAAATGAGATTCCAGATTACTAAGAAAAGAACATGCACTGAATGAAAAATCACATAGAAAAGTAAAGATAAAATCTATAGTAAAGCTTTTATGGACTTTTTTTGCTTTTTATGAGTTCTCATAAAGGAAAAGGCGTTTTGTTTTCTTGAAAGTGCAAATTCATGTTGATCAACATATTACTGAAAAGGGTGAAAAAACCTCCTTGATTTCCTGAAAAATATCCATTTTGGGTTAGCCACATCTGCAAAATTCAGCTAGCAAAGCAAAATAATAATAATAATCAGTTTTCTACATGGTTCTAATGGTAACATCCACTCTAGCAAACCTTGCTGTCTACTATAGAAAGTGAACAGAGGGAGAAATCCAATTGCATTTGCCTTCAAAGGAGAGTATTTTCCATCTCTGAAGCACCTACTCTAGTGCAGGTTTGTCCACATTAGTGCAGAAGGCTGATGGAAAGGGTGTATGTTGTAATTACAACATCAAGCCACACTGCTTGTGTTTACTGTGGAAAGTATAAACATAAAACCCCAACCAACCAAACTAATATGTACAAACCTCTGGTGTTAGGGCAAGAATGATGTGGCTTCATAAGCCAATGGAGAGTATTCATTAAATCAGGCTACATCCCAGGCTACATCCCAGTGAGGTATTACTGAATAAATGTGAATAAATGAACACATACACCATGCTTCCACATTGTTGCTTTATTCTGTGAAGTCAAGAATGAGGTTGGTTATGTGAACATTGATACAAAGGTAACTTCCTCAACAGTCTCAGTCAGCACCTGGGAAGATGGAATGGAGCCCCGTGAATCTATATTTCAGCACTGCCTTTCACATGAAACTTCTGTGACTTCATTTTTCTAATCCCACACCTAACATGCTTAGGGAGGGTAATTCAGAATTTGTCAGAACTGTTTAATTTGGGAATTTTACATTTTTTGGCTGCTGGAATAAAAATACAGAAAGACTCATATAAGGTTTCTGATGTAAAAATCACAGCATTGTACATATCATGCTAATACTCACCATGCTGGAGTGTCCAGGGTAGGAAAGCAACCATACCCTTTCCTCTCACGAGTTTAACACACAAAATATCCTACAGACCTTCAAAACTATTTTCATACATGTATGTAAAACAATTCATAGAATCACAGAATGGTTTGGGTTGGAAAAGACCTTAAGCTCATCCAGTTCCAACCCCCTGCCATGGACAGGGACACCTCACACCAGACCAGGTTGCTCCAAGCCCCTGTGTCCAACCTGGCCTTGAACACTGCCAGGGATGGGGCAGCCACAGCTTCTCTGGGCACCCTGTGCCAGCGCCTCAGCACCCTCACAGGGAAGAGCTTCTGCCTTAGATCTAACCTGAACTTCCCCTGTTTCAGTTTGAACCCATCACCCCTTGTCCTATTGCTACAGTCCCTGATGCAAAGCCCCTCTCCGGCATCCAATTAATAAATATTAAGTAAGATAACAGTGTAATGCTTATACTTTTATATTTTAGGATGATTAAGAAATCACACATAAAATCCATGTGTATATGGAATTACTTTTAAAGATACTGCTATGAAAGTAGTTACCAAAAGTTTCAAGTGTCGATGCCAAAGTAATTAAATAATATGAGCACATCAATAACTTGCTTAGTATTCAGAGGTGCTGAGTGTCCAAAATACAGTCAGTTTTCTTGTCTGGCTGCCTAGATATGGATGTCATCTCAGTATTAACATCTTGGCTGATTAATTTTATGTTCTACGAGGAAGATCAAAATTATGGCCATTCTGAAGGGGGCCTACAGGGATGCTGGGGATGGACTCTTCATTAGGGACTGTAGTGATAGGACAAGGGGTAATGGGTTAAAACTTAAACAGAGGAAGTTTAAATTGGATATAAGGAGGAAATTCTTTCCTGTTAGGGTGGTGAGGCACTGGAATGGGTTGCCCAGGAAGGCTGTGAATGCTCCATCCCTGGCAGTGTTCAAGGCCAGGTTGGACAGAGCCTTGGGTGACATGGTTTAGTGTGAGGTGTCCCTGCCCATGGCAGGGGGGTTGGAACTGGATGATCTTAAGGTCCTTTCCAACCCTTTCTATGATTCTATGATTCCTATATAATTATACCTATTCTTGTGTGTACAGAATGTACTGCAATATTACTGACTAGGTTTCTGCAGACTCTCCAGAACATTCATCTGAAAAACGGCCCTGCAAGGATAATGTCTGCTTGACTTATAGCTAGGTAAGGAAGGAATGTTACCAGGAATTAACTCCATTTTTATTGGTCATATTGTTAGGTTTTCCGACATGGTGATCGAACACCAGTTGTAAATTTTCCAACGGATCTACACAAGGAAAGTGAATGGCCCCAGGGATTTGGACAGCTTACCAAGGTACGTTGACTTATTTAGAAGAACTTATATATACTACTAAAATAGGAAGTGGGCAGATTTTTTATGCATGTCTCAGAAACATCAGCAAATCCAAAGAACTGACAGTTGGTATTAGCCACATCATGGAATTCATAAAGATTTTTGCAACATTACCCATCCAGCTTCTGTTAAACTGAAATCTTGGTCATCATGGCCTTATAACCCTTCCTAAAACCCACAGTTCTATGACAGTGTGTCTGCATTCACTTAAATGACAAGTTTAAACGTTGCTTACACTCATGCTTACAAACATTGATGACGTTCTAATGACCGTTACGCACTGGGCCCTGTGACAGGGCAAAGGGATGAAACCTGCCCATCAGGCCTAGTGTCATCTCATCATTTGACTGGCAAACATCTACTCACAAAACAAGGGAAGTCTTGCAGGAGAAGGCTGCTTCAGGGGACAGTGTGTCTTCTAACAAGGCTGCTTTCAGCCCAGTTTCACAAGGATGCAGTGAACCTGCTTCTTGCCCTGGAATTTCAACATCAAGCTTTACCTCTTTAACTGTATTTGACACATGAAAGTCTAGCAAAAAGAGAGGCCAATGTATTTCCTAATAATAATTCAGCATGATGCAGAAGCATGAATCAGAGACAGTTCAGCATTTACTGTCTGAAGTGAGGTTTGAAGGATCTGTAGAACTCAAGACACTCAGACAACAGGTTACTATCCCCAGGGACATGGCTTGTGTTGAAGGAAGACAGGAAGTTCTTGCTTTGGCACAGACTCTTTTTGAGAGCTTTTTGCTACTTTATTACCTTTTTAGCAACAGTAAGCAAGAATGTACTTCTCCAACAGCTAGAAGTTAAAAAGCTCAGCTCACAGCTTTGGTAATGAAGAAGAGGAAAGACGGTGTGCAATCTAAGACAGCTGCAGGGGTACCAAGGCAAATATGGAAGAATGCTACTTGAAATGCAAGCCACAGATTATCAGTAACAATAATAACTACTACATTATCTATCATCCTTTCTCAGCTCTCACTGACATACATTTTAAAGAACAATGCTGATCATTAACGACTCCAGGAGTGTCTACAGAGCTATTGCTCTGCAGCAAATGTATGTGTATAGAATCAGGGGCATTGCTTTTCCTGCAGCAGATGTTAGAGCCTGAGTGCTTCAGGATGTATCATTTTTTCATAGCTAAAAATTAGTATTTCTGTTAAAAATTCTAGATCACCTACAACATACAGAGTTATGCTGGGTTTGGCAGGGGTAGAGTTCATTTTCTTCAGAACAGCTGGTGTGGAGTAATGTTTTGGATTTGTGCTGGAAACAGTGTTAATAATTCAGGGATGTTTTAGCTACTGCTGAGCACTGCTTGTAGAGTCAAGGCCTTTTCTGCTCCTTACACCACCCCAGCAGTGAGCAGGCGGAGGGTTCAGAAGGAGCTGGGAGGGAACACAGTGGGGACAACTGACCTCAGCTGACCAAAGGGATATTCCATGCTATATGGCATCATGTTCAGCATATAAAGGTGAGGGAAGCAGGAAGGGGTGGGGTTTGGAGTGATGGCATTTGTCTTCCCAAGTAAGTTAGGTGTGATGGAGTCCTGCTGTCCTGGAGATGGCTGAACACTTGCCTGCCCATGGGAAGCAGAGAATGAATTCCTTGTATCGCTTTGGTTGTGTGCATATCTTTTGCTTTACCTATTAAACTGTCTTTATCTCAAGCCATGAGTTTTGTTACTTTTAACCTTCTTATTCTCTCCACAGTCCTGTTAGGGGTGAGAGAGTGAATAGCTGTGTGGTGCTTAGCTGTTGGCTGGGCTTAAACCACAACACTACTACATTACGCAAATGGTTAATGATTGCTTAGAAAGTGGTTGCTGAAGACAAGAAAGAAAACAGAAAATGAACTTCTACATGAAGATCCTCCAGTCACCTTAATCTAATAATCATCTGTATGCTTGCCTCACAGACTGGAATGCAGCAGCTATATGAACTTGGACAATACATGAGGGAAAGATATTCCAGCTTTCTGAACAGCACATACAACCGGCAAGAGGTACATAGCAGACTGTCTGGAGGACATTGTTCTGGCATAGCAGAACCAAGGACTTGTGCTAGATAAAACCACATCATCATATTCATTTCATTAATGGAAAAATTAAGGTAATAGAAGAACATTTTTGAAAGTCAGGCTTTTATGTCAAGGTAAAACGTAGACTAAAGTCTAACTTTCAGCTCTTACATTCAGCTTGGGTCTTCAACTGGCCAATTCTCCAGGACTGAACAGCTCCAAACCACTGAATGAACTGGCAATTTATACATAATGACCCAGTATTCTTCTACCCCATTGAAAGGTGAATGCATCCATGTAGCATGTCACATACTTCATCCTGTAAAAGAGGGGTCTAACAGTTGTTCGGATGTGCTTGTCATACAGTACAGATCATTGTGGGGAAGATAACACTGCCATTTTGGTCTATACACGAAGGATGCATTGATGGAAAAAAAACATAAAAAACACAGCTTTGCCATGCTTCCAAGAGAGATTCACAATTTTATGTGTCTTTATTCCCCAGGTATAGCAGATGAATCACAGAATCATTTGGGTGGGAAAAGACCTTTAAGATAATTGAGTCCCAACTGTAAATCTAATACTACCAAATCCACTGCTAAACCATGTCCCTAAGCACCCCATGCACATACATCAATGTTCCTCTGAATCTCAGAAGATGAAAAGCTTCCTTCTTTTAAATCATGCTTTCTTATTATCCTCAGTTCAGTCTGAGGGTTAGGTTCCAAACTGAGAGATGCTTTGGCAATTCCATTTAGCTAAACGCAGTACGACCCTTGAAGGCTGAGTTACAGTTTCACTGTTTTGACTTTATGCAGAAACATAAAACTGAAACGAAGGAGCCAGGATTGATAAGTTGGGTTGAATTTCCTTATTCTTTTTGTTTCCATTTTATTTGTAACTTTCTGCCATTCTATCTTCAGTTTTACATCCAAAGTACAGATTATGACCGCACCATTATGAGTGCCCAGTCATACCTTTCTGGCCTCTTTCCACCAACTAGCAGCCAAATTTGGAACCCTGAACTTCTCTGGCAACCCATTCCAGTTCATGTCATTCAAAAATCAACAGATCGGGTGAGTACTGACCAAACACTTCTTGTAATGCCTTAAACTTTCTCAGAAGTAAAAAAAGAGGGGAAAGGGGGGCTAAAGTATGTTCTTGTTCTATTCTTTTTGAGTTCAATGGAACAGAAAACATCAACTGCAGCTACTGGCTGACAAGCGTATCATAGGCGAGCTGTAGTAGCAGCATGAAAGTCCTCCTTCTGTAGTTGCAGAATACCTGAATTGTTGACCACACATTACCATTTTCAAGGTACAGCTCTAACATTTCTCCTGGGAAGGACATTTTTGGGCAGTATTAAAGGAAAGTTGCCCTTAACCTTTAGAGAGGACAAGTGCTTTTCTAAGCAGCGATCAGCTAGGCAGACCTCCCCTACTTAGGAAGTTTGCTCCATAGTTTATTCAAGCAATGGAATTTTCACCAGCCAGTGTAATGGCCTTTCAATTATTACTTTCCTCTTCTGGTAGCACTTAGGTACCCTAATTACAGACAAGGGCCTTTTTATGTTCAGCACTACACAAACATTTAATGAAACCCTGGCACTTGCCTTGCAGTTCATAAGAAGAGCAGATCTACCTGAATAAGGTCTTGTAGAAATATTACTGTATTGAGCCCTCTCTGGCTGACTCAGGTTTAGGTTTGAATTGCAGTGGCTCCTGTGACAAGGACTGTGTAAGGAATAGTGTGTTGAACAAGGACAAAAAGTTACTGAGTCTAATGACATAAAGGCTAATTTTCTTCTGCCTTTGAGTACAGAAATTGACGTTAAGGAAATGTTTACAAAAACCCTATTAAGTAACTGCCTGTCCAGTCACCGACATCACAGGATGGACTCTGTCATTAGGGGGCGGCTGTACCTGCCTCCCATTGGCATTTCTCCATTCTTGGAGGCCATACTTGAAAGCAGGTACAGAGAAAAAGGGCTTCCACAAACTGGATTAGGCACAATGTGATTCAGCTTCAAACGTAACTCCATCCCTCAACAGAAAAGAATGCTGTCACTGTTATTTAAATGTGGGACGCTAGAGGAAGTTCTTTCACCAGAAGACCAAAAAAGCATCAAAGTGGTCAGAGCTCTGGCCAAATAAAACCTCAAAGCCCTTAGGAGAATCACAGTGCTGCACAATGACCTGTTTGCAGAAGGCAAGCTCCTTTGTAGGAATCGCTAGTACCTCGTCACTGCTGCTTCAGGACTGGGTATTGATGTGTCACTGAAACACACCCCTGCAGCAACCTAGAATTCCTGTTAAATATGCAAACCACCTGAAAAAAGAAACTGTTCCCTTGTTAAGCCAAGCAGATGTTTGAGGGTATTTTCAAGCCCTAAGCAACACAAAATGGGAAGCTGAGGCCAAGTGGAGTCCTGTAAAAAAACCCTAATCATAGTTCATTTTTTCAGCCACTGAGATCTATCGAGACCTGACAGGCACCAGTACTGAGTATTGCATCATGAAGCCAAAGGGAGTGGCTTCATTAATAACACCTAGAGGGGGATAATTAAGCCATACAGCGAGAGAAACATTTATTATTGTGTGATTAAACAACATTGCCAAGTTTCATATTGCAGCTTTGAGACTTCACCTTCCAGTGTGCTGCTGTTAACAGGAAAAATGCACCCTTGGAGCTCTGTTCAAGTGCAAGTGTGCCAGTGTCAGCTGGTGGCAAGCTTCATGTTGGTAAATCAAAGAGAAAAGAGGCATGCTCCAAGTGCAGCCTGCAAATGTCTGCCCTGAGACAGAGCAGAGCTTCTTGCACATACAGAAGCCATAGCTATTCAGGTTAATTTCTCCACTGTACACTAAGTCACGATTTATATGGTTATAGGATATTAGTGCTGGGTCAAAAATGCTGTAACGATGTGACATAAAGTGCTGAAGTAGCACAAGCTTATTTGCTCATTGTAACTTTTCACTGACACTTCATGCTGGAGCATGCATCATCTGTGATGCAAATGGCATAAGGTATATTTACCAAAGCATAGAGTTTCATGGACACATGTATGTACACATGGTTCAGCTCAAATATGAACTACAAGGTAACTTCGTAATGCATACCCTTGGAGTTATTAAAAGTGAACCATAACCCTAAACGAGAGCAGAGCCATTAGGCTCACAGCTTTTTGGTATTTCAGCCACACGATTTACTTGTCACTCTTGTTTCGAGTTCTGTTCATTAAGTGGTACTTAAAATGCTTACCATAATGTGCCGCTTACCTCCAAAGAGATGAGAGCAGGATGTATAGATGCAGAAGCAATTAAGATTCCATACCAGGTGGAGGCGAGCCGCATCAGAGGGATTCTGAAATTAAGAGGGAAATTGTAGCATTTTAAATTCCTAATCATGGATCCTGATTCATTTCCCAAAGCAATCCTCTGACAGACATGCATAACCGCTTTTTGGCAAAACCAGTTAAACTGATGGAAATTGAGCTGTCATAGACACAAGTAGCCACTGAAAGTCAACCCGCCACAGCCCATTGCTTATGTTAAATGAATTCATGACCAAGGAACCCAAACAAATCATTATGGAGTAGCTGCAGCACAGCCATGAATCTATCGAACATACTACATCAGCAATCTCACCAACACAGGAACCAGAGGCATGTTGATTCATTCTAGAACTATTCTAAGCTTACTTCTCTTGTTTCAGAGGCTGCATTTTCCTCTGCGTGACTGTCCCCGTTTTGATGAACTTCAGAATGAAACACAAACATCAAGTGAATTTCAAAGTAGAATACAACCATACATGGTAAGACAAAAGAGAAAGGAATCAAAATCTAAGAAGGAACGTAACTCAGAAGTTACAGAATTGCATTGTTTCCTTTTGCTAAAATGCAAAAATAAAGTCCTGAGGACTCTCTTAAAATCACAAATTTAGACCAATAGAGTCAAAAAGTGTGTTCAATATTCTCAGGCATTTCTCCTATTTTTCTATATTAGTCTTTGATATGACATTAACATTAATTTGCTGAGACTACTTAGAGCTTCATGTAGTGAAAGTGCCATGATGGGAGGGGAGAAGACAATTCTGGATGCAGTGATTTTAATGGGCAGCACAAAACCAAGTCTAAGAACTCTGGTAAATCTGAGCCTTGGGAAGGTTTATGCCTTCTTGCTGTGAAACCTTCTGAAGTTGACACTACAACAGAGAACTAAAGCTTGCCCAAGCTGGCGAACACTCTGGCCTATGCAGACTTCTCTGAGGTGCGTTTTGGATCCATCACAAGACATGCCACAGCCAAGAGATTCAGAACTTCCCATCCCAGTGCTGCAGCAGGATGGAGGCACAAGGATGGTGTACCTGCCTCAAGCAACTATGTTCTTGATGATAACAATTGTTCTGGATAGCGGCTGCTGCTGCTCTCCTGTTTGCCTACCACGCACTTCGTACGAGCACAAATCTAACAGGGATCTTGTGCTCCTCAAACCCTGACAGCACATGTACATAGGGAAGTAAATGATGACTTCAAAGTCATCCTGTCTTTCAGTTATTAGTAGGAAACAGGTAACATGGGAATAAAGCACACTACGGAATCCCTTTATTCTTCTATAGCGGCATGCGGAAAGAATCCCTATGGGAACTATTGTGGAACTATCACTCAGACATTCAGCTTCCCTTGGATGGCAGAAGGAAAACCTAATTTCCTTTTCAATTTCATTTTACCCCACCCTGAATATTTTCCTCAGCTGTCTTTAATTTTGTATTTCCTCCTCACCTTTACTCTCATTTTCCTTTTCCCTCAGTGCTTTCCCCCTCCTTATATCTGAAGCCTTGAGGGGACTGAGGTAGCATCTTGGAGCAGTCAGAAAAGGGCGAGAAGAGTGCAGTAGAGGAAGCACCAAATTTATCCACAGCAGGGCTGAAAAGAAGTGTGTCTGAAATAGAGATCAGTACCTTGAAATGGTTACAAAATCAAATCTGCAACAAACCTCTGCTACAGGGGTTTCACTGGTGTAAAATTAACCGCTACTGTGTTTTTGGGTTGGAAATGTATCTGGATGCATCTATGTTCCATATGTATTACTTGTGGTATACTTTGCACTTTTTTTTCCACCAGGATTTTTTACAAACGATGGCAGTTAACACAGGACTCGAACTAAATCATCTTAAAATACTGGATAACTTCCAGCTCTGGAATACATACGACACTCTTCACTGCGAGGTAATAATAAGGCGATAGAGAAGGAATAACAGCACCAAGTGGTGCTTCTGTTAAACCATGGCCATGTGGTTTCATAGGAAGGAGTTGCCTTTTCTTCTGGATTTGCCCTTTTTTATTATTATTTATTGAAATCTAATTCAGAGCACTGGTAAAGGATAACCCAAACCCATGGTTTATAGCTCAGGAAACTGTTGTTTCCGTTTCACGTTTTACCCTGAAGCACTGATACTGAAATCCATTCCCTTTATTCCCTCCTTTTCCTTCCCAATAAACTGCTATAGAATCGAGTGTGCTGCCTATGACATATTCATGATTTTTAACAGGAAAAGGAAATAATTTGCTTTCACCTACCAACAGCTAACCATCAAAATACCTAGATGTTGAAAATGAGAGGTAAGATTGTAAGTTACCAGTTAGAAAATTAGGAGACAATGATACCTACCAGTGAGTAAAATCAGACTAGCCCCAAGCATGGCATGGTACCATCTGGTCCCAGTCATTATGAGCAGCACATAAAGGCTCTTGAACATGCCCTCTAGACACTGAGGCACTTAAAACACTGTAAGACACTGTCACTATTACATGACTGGAGAGTGACACTTGTCCGTAAATGGCCACTGATAAAACTGGCATCTGGACAACTCTATGGAAGGCAGGAAAAGCTGGATCCAGGTTATACCATAAAGACAAAGAGGAAAAGAAGATAAGACATGTCTGCAATCTTTCACACTAGCAAAACCAAACCCATATACCTATATAGAGAGAACACATTATACCGATAAAGGATTCCCTTCACAGCTGTTCTCCCTTTTCCCATTCACTCACTTCAGGCTGATCCCACAAAGTGTATTTCAGGGCATGCTGGTGAATGATACCACACTTGGCAAAGAACTGCAGGAGAGCCTCAAATAATCTAAATGTAGTAGTGTGAGCATGGGTAATAAGGCAGTAGAAGGAAAAACCCCATGATTTTGTTTTTCTTTCTCACCAGGGTATTCACAATTTCACTCTCCCTGTATGGGCTACCAAAGATGTAATTGACAAGATGGAAAAACTGGCAGAATTGTCCTTATTATCACTATTTGGGATTTATAAGACAGAAGAGAAATCACGACTGCAAGGAGGTAAATATAAAATGCCCAGCTCTCAGGCAGGAGGAGACAATGCTTACAGTAACATGCAACATCCTGTCACCTTCCTCATGCAAAACAATTGATACAGAACCTTGGTTTGTAATTCTGGATACTGGATGCCATATTAAGCACCAAAATAAGTGCTGAACACTGGCATTTGCATGCAGGAGATATTGAAAAGAGGTGTAAACATTAATGTCTTTAATTATCCTATGCTTTTCCAGGATTTTAAGAGTACTGAAATTCAAGGGGGAAAAAAGTAAGCCCTCATTGGTATAGTCATTACTTGTCTGATATTAGGTTAGATTAAGTTCTGTTTCTCCAACATTTATTCCAATCGCTTCCTGATCTTTGATTGTTCCTTTGATGAACTGGTTATATACTGTGCCAAAAACTTGATAGTACAATGACGGCTCTCTGAGAGACAGATAAAAAGCTGCTGCAAACCCGTCTGATCAGAACAGAGAGATTCAAATTGTTTCTAAACTGCAAGAACTGGGAATACTGCTTACCTCCAAAACTGGGGTGCATAGGCTATGCCCGTTCTGATACAACTTCAGGACACAACCCAGGGATTTCTCATATGATTCCCAGGTGTCCATGAGCAGTAAACCCAAACAAATGAGCTTGAATATATGCAGGATGGACCATTTGGCGGTAGTTAGAGCCTAGCACAGTTTTCACTATTGCAACACTCCAGAGAACGATGGAGAGGAGGTTTCAGCCTAACAAAATTGGAAGTGTCATTAGCTCCAGTTCTCAGGATAGTTCTAGATGGTTTCCTCTGCAATACCTTCTTTCTAGTTATGAACTTGTAGTAAGCTAAAAGAAGAGTATAAAGGCTGAGTATATGTCTTCTGTTTGATATTCAAAACCTTTTGCCTTTTTGGTGTCTATGCAAATGTTGTATCTTCACTTTCCTCTTGCTTGTTCCCATATTTTAAAGGTGTCCTTGTGAATACTATTTTAAATAGTATCAAGCAAGCTGCCAATTCTACAAAACAAAGAAAAATGGAGGTCTACTCTGCAGTGAGTATTTTCATCTTTCATAAATCTTGCTATGATTTTACCAGTAAAAGACCCTTGAAGAGAATAATCTGAGTCTCCCTGTAAGTTAAAGGAAAAATAGAATAGAACTGAATTCAGATAACAAGCTGAACACCAGTCATTACAAGAACACAGCAGGAGTATGGATCTCAGTTACAGTCAACCTGTATTTATTAAAGAAAACTATGGGGTTGATCATCCATTTCTGCACTTGAAAAGGGTCATGCATCAGGAAAGATGAGTTGCATCTTTCCTGAAGTGCTCCTAACCCAGAGATGCTGGCAAACAGCAGAACTTCAGCTGCACCTCCAAATCCTCCCTCTGCTTAGGAAGGGATGACACACAGCTGTGGGTTCTTCTTTTATTCTTTCAGAGAATGAAGACAGCCATTTGGGTCAGACCAAGATCCACTTTGCACATTCATTATCCTGTCTCTAACCATGGCCAAGAGCAGGGAAGAATGTGAGAATAATGCCAGCACAGAGTGATGCTTCCCCTGATACAACCTTCCTGCAATCTGTGGCTAAGGGACTTCCTGAGATAGAATGTCTGTGTGTTTAATAGCTCTTGACAGACTTTCTTCCATGAATTTATCTAATCCCTTTTTGAATGCATTTACACTTATGGCCTCTGCAACATTCTGTGGCAATGAGTTGTGTGTTAAAAGAAGTACTCCATTTTTTATTTTTTAAACTTAATATTGATTTAGCTCCTTCCCAGCATTTCTTTTGTGAGAAACAGGGAATAATCATTTTTTTGCCCCTTTTTCTGGGTCACTCCTGAATTTCCTATTTTCTGTCACACCTCTTCCATCTTTCCTTTTCCGAGACACAGTCCTACCTTATTTAATCTTTCCTTATATAGAAACTGCTCATTACCTTAAATCTTTCTTGCTGCCTGTTCAACATGTTTTCTAGCCCTACTATATTCTTTCTGATAAGGAAGAAGTGCATCCAGAATTTTCACTGCTGCTTTAATGCCCTGAGGCCAAGTATACATTTATTTTTCAAACTAGAAAGTTCCAGATCCTGAATAATAATTAAAACATGGCTATTACACTATAATATAAATAAGCCTTGCAGATATATATATAAAGATGCTTGCAAAATTTAGACAGCAGGCTGTTTGGACTTCCTTCAGCTCCTCCTCCTGGCATACCCTGCAAGAGGAGGGATAATAGGGAGAGGAAGAGACTGCAGCTGGGTTGGTAACCGATTCCATCAAAACAGAAGCCAAACTGAGATTTTATTGTGTAATTCCAAACAGAAGGAAGAACAGTTTTTAAAGTTCTGCAGTGTGTGTGGAGGACAATCTTCGTATACAACTATTTGTCTGGTATTCTTATTCTATCTAAAAACAAGTACTTGTATCTTCACTTGGAATGCCACAGGATATACTACCTTATGCTGCCTTAACCTAACACCCCTGAAAGGAGTAGCAATATGCACTGAAAAACTAGATTTATTACTCAGGCCACATCTTGCTTTCCTCCAGTATCTCTGTTGCCAAAATGTTGCCAGATGGTGTAAGACACATTGTGCAGTAACTCCTTGAGAATGCTCCTGCTGTCTGTAGTAACCTGTTAATGTGGTTTTCCCAATGGTGAATATATTGATTTATCTTGATTTCTACTCCCTCTCTACTCTTGTCTCATTACTCTGGATAAATGGACTTTCAAGGATGGGATTTTTTTTCTTTCCAATAGCATGACACCACAGTTGGGGCCCTCCAGATTGCTCTCAATATTTTCAATGGAAAACTGCCACCATATGCTGCTTGCCAGTTCTTTGAACTCTACCAAGAAAGTAGTGGGCAAGTATCTTCTTATGTATGCAAGAACAAGGAGTGTTTGGAATCGGTTTCCCCTTTCCCCCAAATCATTTTCCTCTCAAATATTGTTTTGAACTAATAATTCACTGAGTAGTCAATAGACATAAAGTTAGATTAAAACAGGAGGAATTACGTTTGATGGATGCACCTGTGTGCTTTGAAAAACAGGAAGAAGAGGAAAACAGGCCTTACTAGCAGGAAGTAAATGTTAACATACATTTTCCCAATACTTCAAATGATAGCAAAACCATTCCCAAGACATGCCATAAATCCCAAGGTATGCCAGTTGGCTTAGAAGACCATGGTGCTGTTACAACTCAAGGAACCTTCAGAAGGACCTTTTGAGCTTGCTAGTGATCTGTACATAATGTAACCAGCACTGGTAAAATGGGCGTTGCAGATGTCTTCCCCAAAGCTGCCATTCTTTATGAACAGGTTCCAGAGTAGGATGTTTCCAACATTGTCTCTAAACAGGATAGCTTCTATTTAAGAACCTTTTCAAAAACACCTTTTCAATGTTGTTCATCAGGCGGTACACTATTGAAATGCATTATCGGAACGACTCCTCAAAGGCTCCTTACTTACTGACCCTGCCAGGATGCACCTCTTCTTGTCCACTTGAGAAGTTTGCTGAACTAGTTTCTCCTGTGATTACAGAAAACTGGTCAAAAGAATGTGGGAATAAAGACAAAATGAAAGGTAGGGTAACAGCTCTGTATTTCCTACACAAGATACCGAGGCTGAAATAGGATCACTGGCTCCAAACTTTGTGCCTTTCATACAGGAGGGAGATCTCCCTTTAACTAGTGTGGACCAGCTTTACTATGGACAGGGAAAGCCAAGAGAAATTAAATTTCTCTGAAAATGTGAAGAGCAGATCTGCCCAGCAGTGTGAAGGAAGTGTTCTTAATAGCGTATTCACATAAGGAGCTACCAAAAGGCCATGGCCAAAATTAGAGCTCTGTTTGCTGGAAAGGTCCAAGGGAAGTACGGGTGCAGGTGCTATGCAAGGAGCCCTGTGCATGTTGGACACATCAGACCCTCTGTAGATGTAAAGCAAAAATGGCTTGCACATGCACAGTAAGACTGCTGTATCTGTATTGCTGGCACAGGTATGATGTTCTGAGGACACCTTAACCTCCACTGTACAGAGTGCAGCTCATCCACGCATACAGAGCAGTTATTTGCCTCAAACTACCCACAGCTGATAACCTCTTCCTGCCTGAGCACTGTTTCCAGGAGGGAAGTGAAGGGCAAGGCAATACATGCTACTTTCCAATCAATAGTCCTGGTATTTTCCCCTTCCTGCATTTATTCAGTGTTTTGCTGACCCCTGATGAAATGCTTTGTTTTCATTAACTACACATGCTCCCTTCTTGCCCTGTGAAAACAGAGGAGAAAGATTAAGGCACAGGAGAAAGAAAAAGCATAGATATGCATTTCCAGGTATATGTTTTTATACTTGTGTTGTGTATGTCAGTTAATGCAGGCCACGTGATCTTGGCATAAACATTACCAAATGCAACTCTATTTCCATTGTACATTTGTACATTGTACATTTGACTGTTTGTCTAAAATAATATACAGGTATGTCTTTATCAACTCACTTTGCCTTTACTCTTTTTCCTTCACAGATATTTTTGTTGGCTTTGATGTTGCTGTTGGCTTGTTGTTCATCTTTGACCTTGTGCTGCTCTACCTCCTCTATCATTATGGACGCTGCAGGCGCAGAAACAACTACCAAGACATTTAAAGGGGAGGTAAAGAAAAGAAAGAGAGAGCAGCAATCCATTAAGTTAGTTATATCCCTCAGTTTGCTGTGGCCAAATTAATCTCCAAAGCATATTCCAAAAGTCTGAAGAGCTGAGGTATCTGTGGCCTAACTCCTAAACCTCTAAACATCTGCAGGGAGAAATAATGTAGAAATACGTTATTGCTAAGAGTTCACTCTTGTAGGAAGATGGAATTACTTCAGTTTAGCGCTTAGGTTTTCTACTATTATTAATCACTCTGAAGTTAAGTAGTGGGGTGAAGGGATGCTATTGCCTATGCTTTTTCTTCTCATATTGCCTATTACTATTTGTCCCTCTGCTGCTCAACGAGTCTCTTGAAAATCACCGTCTGTAATATTTTCCTTACATCTTATAAATGGCTATTTTCTTGATGCACAAGGGAATGTTTTCAGTGAGCAGAAGCTGCAATTACTGTGTGAAAAGATTCAAGCCAGTACTTGGGCAGACTGCTTCTGCATTTATTCATGCAAATCTATGCATGAGTTTTGACCTTGGCCTTCAGCTAATAAAGGTCTGCAGCCTGCTTTTCAACAGCTCTGGTTTAGTGCCTTGTCAGTGTTAAGAGTTGGACACAATGATCTTAAAGGTCTTTTCCAACCTAATTGATTCTATAATTTATTTCTTTGAGCCACTTTTACACTAATTCCTGAGGTATCACTCTGTTTATCACCTTTCATTTTAATTTACAGTAACACCTTTAACTCCTTGTTCTGTTCAAAATCCCTTATGTTAGCAAGACCTGCACTGAAAGTAAGAAAACAATGATTCTGCTTTTTGTATGCTCATCTCTTCCGTGCAATGTATTTTGTTTAGATTGTAAGCTCCTAAGGGCAGGAAATGTGTTCCCATAATTGCTCTCTAGTACCATAAACTAGTATCATAAGCACTAATATTGCTGTATAAAATACTGCTTATCATCACACGTTTCAAGGACTGAACCAAGATGTTTTTATCCTGTAGTCCTGCAGAGGATACTGTGAACCACATTGCCATGGAGAAGCCTTTTTATAAATCAAGGCAACTATACAGACAGGTGATAACAGCAGGTTCAGCCCAACAGATATAATGAGCAATCATGTTCAGGCTAATGAGTCCTGTTTTGGTGCAGAAGTTTAGATGGAGCTGCTTAGCTCAGGGATAGAAGCACCCCATCAATGTGAACAGGCAGCTTCTAAGCTGACTTTGATGCACATCTGTAGCTTGCAAGGTGGAGCCTAAGAGCTTGGGTCAACTACCACAGACCTAGAGATCAGCCCTCTATATTACAGCTATGGACACAGTTAAAATGTGCTGGAGTTAGGTGTATGATATTAAATAGCATAAATAAAAGTAGCAAAGGCTTGTGGGAATACAGCACTTTGCATTTTCTTGTAGTTACTCCAGCTACTGAGGTGTCCATCTTTTGAGGCAGTATTCCCACTCAGTAAAGTTTTTACTAGTATCTCTGACATTCCTATTTTATCTGATTTAAGAAATATAATCAAGTGATGGACTTGATTCTTACATGGTAAGGATGTTTTATTGTATAACAATTTGAGGGAAAGCTGTCAAAGGATAAAAGGCTATCCTTAAATCAGATGTTTTGGATGTACAAGCTTCACATTGTAACTAGTAGCTCTTATCCTCAGTGCAAACAGTTAAAGGAATGTCTACATTGCAGTCAGAAGTGTTACAGCAGCTCTAGGAAACAAGCCTGGGCTGGCTTGGTTAGTATTAGCAGTTTACTCAGAATAGGGAAAAGCTCAGGACAAACTACAAAACTGATCCTGGGTCCTGTATATGTATCTACTCAGTGATTACCTGATGCTGAGCTCTGTATTACCATGGTCACAGTGCTGCTGGTACTCATTGAAGGGTATACCGAATATGTCTTTTACTAGAGGCAGTCAGATGCTTGACAAGTGAAGATGTATCACTGACTGATAATGTACAGTAAGAACTGGCTGTGAAATAGGAGAAAGTCAGTTGGAGTCCACAAAAAAAAGAATGGGGTATGTTTTATCCAAAATTGGTTCTTACAAGAAGTACATCTGGACAGAAAGTAAAATGTGAAATGTTTGAGATATCTTCTGTGGGTTATGCTTCTCAAGCCTAAGCTGTTACAGAGGATTTCAGGAGATGAGGTAATTCTAGCTGTGGCAGGAGCTGTCATTAAGTAATCGTATTGTAGGTACATCTTTTTGTTAACAGTCATGCTTGAAAATGTCCTTTAGAAAGGATGTAGCAAACACAAGTTACGCAGAATGTAATGGAGAGGTTCATATGATATAACTTCACAATTAATGAAGGAACAATAAAGATGTAATACATTAGTAACGTAGGCCCTGAATCTCACTTATAGTAAAGATGCTTTGTCTTGCTGTGATTAAATCAAGCCAAATTTCTCCAATGGAGTAAAAGGTTGTGTCAGACAAGCTTGTGGATTTCTTAATTTTTCAGCCCTATTTACAATTTGCTTGGTATAATTTGCAGACTGCTTGTGACTAGAAAATATCTCCAGGCAACTTGTAGCACTGCAATAAAGTACATTATAGAAAACCGTTCAACTGCTGCAGTTGTATTTAAGTAAAAAATAATGGAGCTTTCAGTGTGCCCAGAGTTCCCAAACAAAAGTGAATGTTCAGGTTTGTTCCTTCTCTAAAAACAGATTTCTAAAGCACTGATGCTTTGACATAACTAACATGATGACAAAAAGCTTTTCCATTTGCCCTCTAGCAGTTACATCATCTGCCTCTATGATAATCATGGTGGCAACTAGAAGCTCTGCAGCAGGATTTTCTGGTGCATATGGTAGACAGCAGTGCACACACAGCACTCTCCAGCTCAGTCAGCAACAACCTCTGCACTGATTTCATTCTGGAACTTGTTTGTTCACAGTCCTGGATATTGCCCACACTGGACCAGTACAGCAGTGCTGTCTGGCTTCCAGAGTAACACCAGTTCAGTCTGGAGCACTCATGTTCATAGAATTATAGCGTGGTTTGGGGTGGAAAGGACCTTAAAGCTCATCCAGTTCCAACCCCCTGCCATGGGCAGGGACGCTTCACACCAGATGAGGTTGCTCCAAGCCCCTGTGTCCAACCTGGCCTTGAACACTGCCAGGGATGGGGCAGCCACAGCTTCTCTGGGCACCCTGTGCCAGCGCCTCAGCACCCTCACAGGGAAGAACTTCTGTCTTATACCTAACCTGAACTTCCCCTGTTTTAGTTCATGTGTACCTGTAATGTAGGGAGATTTGATCCTAATTATAGCTTTTTTTCCCATTAAATACGTTTGCTTTGGTGTGGTAAAGATACAGAAAACAGGATAATAAACACACTCCATTAAAAAAAAATAAATCTCTTCAGTCCAAAAAAATCTTCAGTTTGGATTAAAAGACAAGTTTATGATTGTAATTTTTTCTCCAAAACCAAAAATGCTAAAAATTCTACTCTACAAATAAGAGTAAAGACTAACAATGATGCAGTTTGACAGTGATAACGAGGATAGGGTTGGATTATTCTTCAGCATGAATTTTGGCCCTTATGAATCCATGCTGAGGTGATGTTAGCAATATTGCCTAAGATTGTATTCTTGGCATAAAATAGCTACAACTACTGTACTCTTTAGAGTATTTCTTATCAAGCTGGGGAGGAAAGGTAGACATTTAGCTATAAATGGCTAGCTTTATTGATTTAGACAGTAATGCTTCTTCATCACTAGTTGCCAAGTATTAAGACTCAAATAAATAAACATGAGTTGCTCCTGAAGTAATAGCAAACCATTGGAACTATTTACATCACATGGGCTCTTCTATGACAAGGCAACTTTCCTTCCAAAGGGATTTTATAGCACTGGCCAAGGTCTGCAAGGCCACAATTAGGAGATCAGGTACTGTTGGAAAGTCAGTTAAAAAGCCATGTTCAAAGTCCAGTTGTGCTAATTTCTGTACTTTCTCTTAAAGTGGATTAATGACACTGCTTTCTCTCCTGAAGCTGAGAGTACATAGTCAAATCCAGCCATCCTCCACACTGAGCTTTTAAAAAAGCTGTAGAGGGGAGAAAGATAACATTTATCAGTTCAAAATAGATACAGGTAAAAGAAAAGTGTCCTGGCTCCATCTCTCTCCATATTTAGCCAGTCATGTTCATGTCAAAAGAAAAAGGATATTTCCTGTGCTCTCTTCATGGCAGCTAAAGCTCTTGCCCTCTTAAAGGGAGCCCTTGGCTTCAAATGACACAGCAATTCTGCTAGCTCATCTACCCTACAAATTTTGGAGAGAAATGTTGTGAAGATTCAGGATGATCATAAAGCCTTTTCTTTAGGAAGATGAGAATTAAAAGGATATATGGACTCAAACCCCTGTAACTTAAGGCCCAAATAGGCAAGCACATGTCCTCTCTTCTCTGAAATACTAGTCTTGACAGCATTTGGATCTATAATTATAGGAAGACTAGCATAATTCTGTAACACCTACAACTCCTGAGCTGACGGAGGACATTTCCAGTACCTCTTGGAAATGGAGCTTCTCCATTCTTTTCATTCTAAGACATTCTCAGGGCTTCTCCTGGGTGCACTTCAGGAAGCAGCAAGAGCTGAAGCGGAAAAAAAGCCTACTTCCTGTGCAGGAGTTTTGAACCACACACACTTAAAATTAAAATGGATGTGATGATTAGTAAGTTACTGTTTGGAGTACAACAGTTTCTTCACTTACGAAATTGATAGAGAAGTACATTTACAGTACAGGCCAGGGCAGAAGAGTTAAATGAACAATTCAAATGGCAGGGGGGTTGGAACTTTATGATCTTAAGATCCTTTTCAACCCTAACTATTCTATGATTCTATGTTGCACTCATATAAAGAAGAGACTACTTGCCACTGATATAAGCAGCCCTTCATAAGAATCTTGTGCATCCTCTGTAATATTCTGGTGGAAGAGAGCTTTATCAATTCATTTATGCACAAGGAACACAAAGTCCTCTTTACTTGGTAAGAGAAGATGTGGATCAAAATCCACCTTCATCTGTCAGTTAACTTCAAACAAGCACGTGAAGACCTCCTTCTGAGAAATGAAGACCTAGTTTTCACTACACTTCACTATTTACAAAGTTGGAATTGACAAAGAGAGGATATATTAAGCCTCACGATGTGGTGGTTAGCCTATCTCCAACACAGTTATTGGTTTGTCTTCTCTTGTATGCCTATTTGCTCTCACCTCTGAACTACTGGCAGGACGGAGGTGAAGGACAACAAATGTACTGAAATGTAATGAGCAGTACAAGCTGCTGTTGCTTACTCTTACACGTTTTAACCACCAAACCTATTTGGTTACAGATGTGAACCAAACGGGTCTTTAATCCCCCAAGCCTTCATTCTAATAACCCCACTCAACCTTAGGAGGTGATCCTGCCCCTTTATTGTGCTCTCGTGAGACCTCACCTGGAGTATTGTGTACAGTTCTGGTGTCCTCAACATAAAAAGGACATGGAACTGTTGGAACAAGTCCAGAGGAGGCCGCAAGGATGATCAGGGGACTGAAGCACCTCTCATATGAAGATAGCCTGAGAAAGTTGGGGCTGTTGAGCGTGGAGAAGAGAAGGCTGCATGGAAACCTCATAGCAGCCTTCCAGTATCTGGAGGGGGCCTATAGGGATGCTGGGGAGGGAATCTTCATTAGGGATTGTAGTGATAGGACAAGGGGTAATGGGTTAAAACTTAAACAGGGGAAGTTTAGACTGGATATAAGGAGGAAATTCTTTCCTGTTAGGGTGGTGAGGCACTGAAATGGGTTGCCCAGGGAGGTTGTGAATGCTCCATCCCTGGCAGTGTTCAAGGCCAGGTTGGATGAGGCCTTGGGTGATGTGATTTAGAGCGAGGTGTCCCTGCCCATGGCAGGGGGGTTGGAGCTTGATGATCTTAAGGTCCTTTCCAACCCTAACTATTCTATGATTCTAATGTACCAAACCAGTCTCTGTTGACATAGATCTCTTCCTTTCTTTCCACACATTCAGTAACGTAAAAAAGGCATTGGCTGAGTTCAAGCTGGTTTTGTCAGTCTGGGTATCTGGTTGATGTTTCCCTATGATTTGAATACCAGTTCTTTGTCAAGAAGACCATTCTCCACCATGAAGTGCTGTTGTCACTAATGGCTGTCTCACTTGAGCCTTAAGAAGAATACTGTTTTCTGCAGAATTGCAGGCAAGAGTACAGTTACCAAATAATTCTTTACCTGATGCTTCAGACTGAACAAAATACTAGGTGGTTTTCATACCCACAGCTTGCATTAGCAAAAGCAGAATAAACACTCTAAACAAACTTTCATTTCAGTGAAATAAGTGCCACTTTGGAGAGTGCAAACACTCACTCTTCTTGAGAGTGTTATTTTATAATGGCATATCTTTCTGGTTTAGGATGTAGTTCTAGAATGTACAAAGAATTGTATCAGCAAAACCACAAAGAATTATACCACAGAATCACAGAATAGTTTGAGTTGGAAAGGACCTTAAGGTCATCCAGTTCCAACCCCCCTCCCATGGGCAGGGACACCTCACACTAGACCATGTTACCCAAGGTTCTGTGCAACACTTGAACACTGGCCTTGAATACTGCCAGGAAGAAAGAGACCAAATATCCTGAAATAACAATGCTAAACTTTAAATAACTGCACTGCTGACTCAGGAAGAGAAGACTCTTATCTGTCCAAAGCAAATCCCAAACCAACTGGAAATACAATAGGAATGATCACAGAATAGTGTGAAATTGGGGTGGTTTCTAATAAAACCTAACACTTTTGAGAACTAGCTCTTCTCAGAGGAAGATTGGGATGACCGTGATTGGGATGGTCCTGGAGCTACTTTTTCTGTTTTCAGAGATGTTTTTGCTTTCCACCATGTGCTTCCATGTGCACTAAGCACTCGTAAACACTCCTGTGACTGTATTGCTCCTGATTTCCCCAAAGTCTGACTAAGTGTGTATGAGGGAGGAAGGAGGGGAGCTGTGCACAGCTGGACATCCATTTTCAAATCAATCTTTCATCTATATGCTAAGCAATTGATGCAGTGATAGCAAGCTAACTCTGCAAATAGAAGGGAACTCAGACAATCTCTATGTTCTATGATGTATCATTTGTAAAGCTATTCCATCAAGACTTAAGGAAGACACAAGCAGGAGATAGCATCCTGAAGACTAATGGTATAATCTTAGTCTAACCAAAGCACTTGGCAGAAATGTTAAATAGCCCGAGAAGAAAAGCAAAAAGGAAAGAACTAAGTTTCTGCCTATCCATGTGATGTCCCAGTAACTATTAGCAGAGCCTATAGGGGCAGTCTCAGAAGCCAACTTAAATATAGAAGCAGTTGTGGAAGTATCATTTTAAAAACATCATAACCTTAATAAAAATATCATTTCCATAAGGTTTGGTTATTTTGTAGTTTTATAATGCTTTTACCATTAAAAAAATCTATGTTTATAGATACTTTTGCCTTTAAATCTTGTCTGGTGACAAAACTAGCTCCAGATTATCTGATGAATACTAAGCATATCATTCCATAAATCTTTT